TGGTGACATTGGTACTGCTTATTGTGAGCGTTGTGGTGAGGACAGGTACAGTGGCACTTGTGCTAGCACCAGTGGCCACGGAGTAAGGTGTAGTCTCAGGACCAGCTGCACTAGTTGTGACTGCTGTAGCGCTGGTTAGAGGAGTGGTTATGGCAGARGGTTCACTAGTGCCAGGAGCAAGACTTGCACTAGCAGAGCTAGTGAGAATCTCAGTACCAGCAGCTGTTGTAGAAGATGTAGAAGTCTCAGGACTCATGGGGAAGGCACTTGTCACAGGTGGAGTCGTAAAGGAAGGATCCCCATGAATCCAGAATACCTCAGTTAATTTTTCCAGACTAACACTCCTGTCAGTCAACTGAATAGTTAGTGTCTGCCAAAAAARTAAAAATAAAATAAAATAAAGTGGGTGTATTAAAACTTCTTTACCATATTTTAGTCCCATCTGAAATTTCATTTAACAACAATAATAAAACCCACAATGTGCTCATTCTTTGCCAAGACACTGACAGTATATAAACACTTTTTTTTTTTTTTTAGATCACATGCATTCCTGACAGTTTAATTTGGAGAGATGCTCTGTGTGCAGAATCCTATGATGGCATTCTCTTCCTACTCACTTCATTCAGTCAGAACCACATTGGTCACAAATGTTACAGCTACAATTAAAGCCAGTGTTTATTAAAACCTCCTTGCCTTGCCATTGGTCTTACTCTTCCTGGAAGCAGGCTAGTTTCACACCTTCACTATGTTCAACACCTAGAATGGTGACTGGCACCTACTGGTATCTGATGTGCTATGGAAATGTCCAAAAAAGAGGGTATTCAAGGACTTTCTGTATWTGTCTTAATTAGAAACAGTTACTTGGTAAAAGTGGTTCTGAACTCCATAGTCCAGGGAAAATGTTGCAAACATCTAGAAGAGACTATAGAAAAAGGAATTATTTGGCCCGTATTCAGAAGGGCCTTTTTCTAAAATTAAAATATCAACAGGGCACCCTTTTCACCTTTTAGAAGCTGGAACTAGAGTTATTCATTTTCACTGTTTTACACTCTACACTATGACTTACTGAACTCATATTTCTAATTAGTGTCATGTGCTAAAGTAGAGTGCTTTTTCCTCTGTGATTGCCCTAGGTGTTACTATTGTTAATTCAACTTCCAAAATGCTAATTTACGTGGCTCTAACAACAAAAGCAGATCCTCTGATAGGTTCTTCTATTTTTGGTCACTTTGTTTTATTAACCAAATAAAACATCAAAGGTTAGATATAGTTATTGAATGGTCACCACAATTTACTGCCAATTTTCAACCTAAAAGATCCATAAAAATTTGACCAGGGATGTGATTGCTGYAGGAAGCAGCAGGGAACCTTTGCAACTTTAAGGAATCACTCTTTTCTTTGTTTTAGCCTCTAAGTAGAAAAGTAAGTTCTATAATGCAGCCTGGGAAACTGACCTATTCAAACAGCACAATTTCATTTGTAAATGTACAGAAGGTATCACCAAACCACTGACCACTGGACCTTGGACAACATACTATGCATTTCACAGCATAATCCAACACTGAACTTTTTGGGAACATACCTGTTGCAAACATTTATAGCATTTGAAATATATGTACATATAAGGCTGATAATAGTGTTGATAATTTTGCAGAATAATAAAATTAGCTCATGATAGCATTCCTTTCAGACATACCTTAGTATAAGGGTCACTCTTGAAATTGGTCGTCATGAATTCCCAGTTGTCATATGTGAAACCGACTTGTGTCACATAAGTAGAGTTCACTCCCCAGATTTTAATATATCCAACTTTCAATGAATTTGAGTCGCTCAAATACTTATTGTGTATGACCTGAATTTTCAAGGTGTTCTAAAAAACATTCATAAAAAGAAAAATGCAAAATACATTATTAATAACCTATGCCTTGCATTCAGATGCTTAGAAACCTCAAGTTGCCTTTGTTGTACTGGTTTGCTATTTTTATTCTTAGTTGAACATTTTATAAAGACATTTCCTGAACACTTGCTGCAAAAAATTTGATGATGTCAAAAAAATAGGCCTATGTACCAGCATACYTTGCGTGTATCTTTTACTAATTCTTAAAATAATTTTGAAAAGAATCTCTGTTTTAAAGATGAGAAAACTGAGGTTCTAGGAGAGGAAGTGAGTAGCTGAAGGACAATGTGCCTATATGCACAGCCTTAGAAGAATTAATACAGGTGAATAAAGAAAAAGCCCTAGAGTAAGGATGGTTGACAAGAAATGCAGGAACTTATCTCAATTGTGAGCTCATTAAGCATCAATGCAAGGATTAAAATAATCTTAAATAAATCATSAGATGCCATGTAATTAAGGCCAAAAGAAACACATAGTGAAAATTTGTTACTATAGGAACAATGTAGTCAAGGAAGATTTGGTAAGGACACAGAACTTCAGAAGTCCTGGGAAGATGGATAGGATGTATAAAGGTGACATGAATGGGGCAGGGAAAAGAGACAGAGGTAATTTGAACAAGGGCACATTCATTGAATTAGGGCAAGGTCTACTGTAGGTGGTGCTAAGATAAAAGGGAAATGAGACTGGTTTTGCATGTAAGTATGTCAGATAAGGTTGTGAACTATGCAGTAAGTTGGAATAGTTGCAGTAGACTAGAATTGTGAATATCTTGATTCTGGTGGTAGTAGTAGAAAGAGAAAGAAGCATACAATTGGCATTATCAAGATAGGGGAGAGGCGTGGGAGGGAAAGGGAGCAGGTAGAGGAGTAACAAGGATAGTAGAAAGTGATGAACATCTTTATACAAAGTACATGTGTGAAGACTTTAATTGGGTGTCAACATACTTTATATACAAACAGAAATACAAAAAGTGTGGTAAATGAATTACAGTAGRTGGGGTAGAGAGAGRAGATGGGAGGGGASGGGAGGGGGGATAGTAGGGGATAGGAAAGGTAGCAGAATACAACAGTCCCTAATATGGCAGTATGTAAAAATGTGGATGTGTAACCGATGTGATTCTGCAATCTGTATTTGGGGTAAAAATGGGAGTTCATAACCCACTTGATTCTAATGTATGAAATATGATATGTCAAGAGCTTTGTAATGTTGTGAAAAACAAATAAAAAAAAATACATACATGGAAAAAAAAAAGAATTGTAATGCAAAAAAAAAATAACGTTACCTTAGGTTAGGTAGACGGAAGTGAAAGGAGGAGAAGGCAGGGGATGTGGGGATAATAAAAATAGTAGAATGAAACACATTATTATTATTGTATGTATATAGGTGACTGTATGACCAACGTGATTCTACAATATGTATACTCAGAAAAATGGGAAATTATATCCCATTTATGTATGATACATCAAAGTATTTAAGTGCATTCTACTGTCATGTATAACTAATTAAAACAAATTTTAAAAAAAAGAATTAATAGGATTTTTTGGCTGAATCAAAGGAAAAATGGGCAGGCCGAATCAAAGGAAAGATCAAGGAAAAGGTATACACTWGAAGCAAGTAGATATTAGGGCTAGATCTTACTGATTTGAGAGAGCAGATGGTTCAATTTCCTGAAATTGTGCATAGTAGTTATAGTTAGAAATTGGTTAAGATGGTGGATGTTTTTTTACCACAGAAGTCAGTAAATACTATAGATCAGCTCCTACCCCACAAGTTGGCTCACTAGCCAGGCAGCACTGATAATAATTAACCCACAGTTCGCTAGCAGCTTTTTTTCACTTCAGGCCACTGATCTCTAGGGGGGGAAATTTATTAAATATCCCAGAAGTAAGAATCCTCTTATCACTACTGTGGAATAACAAAAGAATGGAAATTTAGACTTAAAAGTAATTTAAGGGCCATCTTATTTTTATAATAAATAGATTTAACAAGAAAAGCGCCTCTTGGTAGTAGAAAGAGAACTAAAATCCAGGATTTCTAGATCAACAGCTTCATTTACAAACAATATTTTGAGAGGAAAAATATAGTTTTCCACTCCAGTATTCTTTTGTTAAAAACAGGGAATGTACAGATTTAATGAGAATACAAACTTTTGCATTTAGTTTCAAAGAGGCAAATTCTGTTTAAAGACAATATGATCTGATACTCATGTCTATGAAAATAAAATGTAGTTGACCATGAGATTTTTATGTGCCAAACATCTGATACATGTGTTTAAAAATTGACACAATGCAACATCAGTAAAAAACAGTCTAGCTAAAAAGTGGTAGTAGGCAATATAAAAATTAATTCTCTCCTGTAGGAATATAGTGCAAACCATATATGTAATTTTAAATTTTCTAATAGCCACATTTTCAAAAAGTAAAAGGAAAAATTGATTTTAAAAGATATTTTACTTAGTATCAAGTTTTATAAAATATTATTTCAACATGTATTCAATATAAAACACTCTGGGATATTATACAATCTTTCTTCAAACTTAGTGATTAAATATTTCAAATTAGGCTGGYCATACTTGCAAGGGCTTAACAGTCACATGTATTTTGGATAGTGAAGGTCTAAATTGTGCTCTTAATCCTGAGAACCAGGTTTTAGGGGAAATCTAGGATAACTGGAGTCCAAACAGAATAATCACATCTAGAAACCAATAATGTTAGCCGGGAGATGCATAAAGACAGAAGGGATATATATATATATATATATATATATATATATATATATATATCCACACACACACACACACACACACATACATAAAAGACATCTCAAGTATTTGAAGTACTTAAGGAAAAGAGAATAGATTTGTGCTACAATTATTCTTATTTTAAGTCAATAGATAAAAATTACAGAGAAGCAAATTCTAACTTGAAAATGAAATGAACCTTTTTTCTCTAATTAGAATTACAGATTATTCATGGAATTGCTTAACATAATACATTGATTGTAATGTTGTCTCCAACTCTTCATTCCTCACTTTTCTATGTAATTTTGGTAATTTTGCCTGACTTAATGCAATATGCTGTCCCGCATGCGCATCTGAGTTAGCTTTGCTAGTGGGAGATTAGTCAACTCCATGCATGAAGTGATTTTAGGCATTTCCATGTCAATTTGCACCTTCTACCATAATCATAAAAACATCATGCTCAGACCATCCTATAGGTCATGTTAGATCATCTGTAGGTCAGCTGATATGTCAGGTATGTGAGAAAGTGAAGCCAAGATTACTCAAGCAGCCTAGAACCAGTGGCTAAATGCAGTCACTTTTGAGCCAGCCAGTATCAGCCAAATTCAGTCCAGGTCATCTGAGTTTTGCAGTTTAATAACCAAGTGCTTATAGTTGCATGCCATTGAGGGATTGAGGTTGTCTGTAGTGCAGCATTATTGCATAACCGCTTATTAAATTCCTCATTCCTGAAAACATGTTATACATTTAGGAATCCATTTTTCCCTGGATCAATGTGAGTTCCAAATTTCTTTATCTATAATAATGCTATTGGATAATTATCAAAATAAGGATTTCTTTTCTCCCCTATTTTAATGTTAACAAATCTGAATTGGTAAAGGCAGTGAAGACCTCCTATTAAAATGTGAGATATTATAAACATTAACTGATAATGTTTAATCTGTAACTAACTGGAAAAGCATTTATAAAGTTCAACAAAACAGCATTACCTGAGCTGCAATAAAGTTTGCCAAGAAATAGTTTCCATTTTCATAGGTGTCTGAAAGCAAGAGGAAGAAGAAAATAAGCAATTGCTCAATGCTTCCATTGCAGCAGATAATCAAGTCAGAAAATATCTTAATGTGTATATGATACACTTTAATTTATAAATTAGGCATAGTAAGAGATTAACAATAACTAATAATAATATATAGCAATTGTAACATAATTTTGTAGGCTTGAGCTTTGGGCCATWATTAAGTAAAATATAAGCATTGAAATAGTGCAACAGTTGACCTAATAACAAAAATGCCTTTTCAGTGACTAATTGGAGGGTAGCATATACAGCATGGATACACTGGAAAAACTGATGGTTCACATCCTAAGTAAGATGGACTAATATTGCATAAATTTTCATACACTCTACCCACTGCATCAATTACTTATTTCTGGAATTTTCCATTTAATACTTTTGGACTGTTGCTGACCATAGGTAATTAAAACCACAAAATGTGAAAACTCAAAAAAAGAGGAATACTTTCTTTCTTAGTTGGTATCTACTTTATTCATTCTCCTCATGGTACTTTCATACCTCCTCCTGTTTCTTAAAAGTCAGTTTTAYATCATGATCTATTCTTGACCTTTGTGAACATTTCAATATCTTGCCAATAGTCCAAAAAATTATCTCCTTGAACTGACTGACTTTCTTCTAAGTCTTCAACATTACCTCATAGGGAAGTAAACAATTACAAAATCCATATGGTATTTTAAATTTAGCCTTAAAATGAATGCAACTTAAGCAAACACTATAGCCACTTTTATCAGTTAATGAAGAGTTTTCAAGAATGAGATTTGGCTCACAGAATTTTTAAAGATTATAAGATTATCCTTGAAGTAGCCTTTACATTACTTTATGTAAGCAAGGAAAATCTGCTAACAGAAAATTTAAATTAAATCTACTTGTTCCATATTTTAGTATTCAGTAATTTAAATTTTAATTTCTAAGTCTATTAATTTGTTTAAATAGGGGCAAAAAAAGAGCATTATTATAAAGAGTAACTTTTAATATTTCAAGGACTGTCAATTTTTAGTCTTTAAACCAAACATATTTTTATAGAAACTTAAATTGTTCTGAGAAACATACAAACTAAATCCAAAATGTAATGTGCTGTATGCCTGCAAGAATGGTTGATGTTTTAAAAACTGATAATACCAGGTATTAGCAAGGATGAGAAAAGTTGGATTCTTAATCATTGCTGTTAATAATAGGAAATAGTACAGCACATTAGAATATAATTTTAGCAATTTCTTTGAACATTAAACATGTATTTATCCAATATGGCCCAGCAATTCCACTCACAGGTTTTTAGGCAAGAGAGATGAACAGATAAGATCACAAAATGTTTTATACCCAAATAATGGTTCCAAAAATGAAGCAACTTAMATATTTATCAGTAAATCCATGGGCAAATTGTGGTATATCCGCAAAATGGAATGTTATTCAGGGCTAAAAAGTAATTAGCTCCTTTTACAAGCAACAACACGGGTGAATTTAAAAATCATTCTGATAAGTGAAAATCTAAAGACACATAAAGGGTCTACACTACCCAATTCTACTCATATAAAACCTAGGAGACATGGCTCTGTCTGTAGTTGGAGAAAGCAGAATAAATACTGCCTTGTCCTRGAAGTAGCAGGTGGAAGTGGGGAAAGCTGACTGGAAAAAATAAGGGCKCTCTTGGGTCATGAAAAGATCCTGTATCTTGATGTGATGGTGGTTATCTCACTGTGTGTATCTGCCAACTCTTCAAGAGCTCTATTTAAAAATTAAGACATTTTACTTATGTAAATTACAACTCTTTGAATAAAGGAAAATAATTATCTTCAAGGAATATACTTTATGGAAATAATTTAAAATGCAAACACAGGCTAACACTACAAAAKGTGATTCATAAAAATGAAAACTGAAAACATCCTATATAAAGAACAATTACACAGTTACATAAATTACAGCATAGCTTCTTGATAKAATCTATGTCATAGTGGTGCTTATAAGGAGAATATAATACATCTAGAATTGTGTCTTTCATTATGTTAGGTGAAAATAAGCAGGCTTCACAAATTAAATTTGTAGTATGTTTCCAGCTACAAAAAATTACACATTTTATTAAGTAATGTAAAGCCAAAGGTAATACAGCAAAAGTATTAAAAGTGGTGATATTTTTTTCAAATTTTCTATCTTAAAGACTTTTTGAAGGGAACACTTCATACTTTAATGAGAGTATCTTATCTTTATAATAAAGAAAACTAAAAAGAAGGAAGCCTTTAGAAATAGCAGTAGTGAGAAACAGATTAACGTTTCAGAAAATGTGGCAAGCTGCAAGACAAAATGTTCTGTTCCACAGTATTTAAGTAGTGAAAAGTAACTGGTTGGAGCGGTGTGTCAGTATTTCCATAGAAATGTCTAAGAAAGAGGCTGCTCTGGTTACAATGGTAGGTTCCAATCCAAGGCAGAATGAGYTTGCCCCTGGATTGGGGAGTGAAAGCACATAAGGTGTGAAGTATCCTTTAGGTGATACTTAATTCCCAATTTATGAGTTACCAAGAAATTTTCTAACTCTATTKTTTTTTCCCTGAGTGGGCCAACATATAAGGAAAAAGATGCCTGGTGTGACCGGCTGGCCCAATAATAGAGCCCAGTCCTGTCCCATTGAGAATGAACTTAACTGTCAGCCTGATATTTGTATCCACACTATTTTATCAGAGTAAGAGAGTTCAATAGGGATAGATCATCCCTGGCTGGATAAATATACCTGGTCTATAGCATCATAGACCTGGTCTATAATAATTTGTAGCATWACATGAGCAGGGAAAAGTTGCAAAAGTTCTTCCCACACCACGGTCATATTGACAGTAGCAGACACAGAGAGATTTTAARTTCCTATGATTCACTGACCCTCTAGGGTACTGCTTTTCTGAATGATGTTCAAGGAWTCTGGGAAGTTCACACTCACCAATGCTTTGTCCATCATCCCAGAACAGCTGACCTTCGGCCTTCCCATCATCATCCAAAGCAACAGTTAACCCCATAAAACATTGTCGACTRTCAAAAAAAAGGAGGGGGGTATTATTTTTCACTAGCTTGTAGGTTTTAAGAATGAAGAACAGCTCATGTTGAAAATATTACTTATCCAGAAATAAAAGTAGTATATTAAATATGCACATAAAGTTTTAAAAGAGGTAAAATGTGATAAAATATGATACTTAAAAGTTAATGGAAACACATTTAACGTTTAATGAAACATTTGATTTAATTTCAACTTTCAAAAACTAAATATACATACTTTATAAATATACATATTCAAGTAATTTAATGAGGTCTGAAGTCCTCAGGAAGAAACCCCAAGAAAAAAGAACTCTTCAATAGCTTTCAGGTTTCTCTAAATTACTTATTCAAGTTGCTCTAAATTACTTAGACATTCATAGCTCTCCATGATCTGCTCTGTTCCTGCTTGAATTTAATTTATGTGACCCCTTCCCTTATCTATGCTCCAATTAAACTAAATGGCTTGCTWTTCCCCAAATCCAATCCACTCTTTAGTTCTTTCATCCTCCCAGAATATCTTTTTCTCTTGCACTCACCCATTCAAATCCTATTCATTATTTAAGAGCCAGCTCAAAGCCCTCTTTCATGTAAATCTGGGCTTTACACCACAGGCTGTAAATTGACCTCTCTCCTTCAGGGTTGCTATCTCTGTTTGCAGATGCCTTTCTTAACAAAATATATTCTCCTTAATGAGTGAGTTCATACATATAAAGAGAGAGAGAGAGAGAGAGAGAGAGAGAGAGAGAGAGAGAGAGAAAGGAATATCTTCTTGCATTGACCAAAGTCACCCTGGAATTAGAACTACATCCCTGGGTAGCCATCACAAAGCAAGAAGGTCATTAGAGCTCATTAATACTCCTATATTTTTAATTGTGTGGGAAGAAACATGCTTCCACCCTCAGGAAAGCATTTCACCATCACACAGCATTAGAATAAAAGATCTTCCCAAGACTGACTTTATGAACTCATTCTCCAGATCCTATTCAGAAGGCACTCAGAATCCAACCAGGAAGACCCATCTKCAATTTGATTTATTTATCCACATAGCCCTTAAGGTGCCTCACATGGCCAAGCAAGGCCATCAAATCCCACCTCTTCTTCTTACCTRTAGTAAGTGTTAATGGAAGGCTCTTGCCAAGGCAGGATGTAGCCTCCTCTGACATGAAGGTTGATGTGGTCTAGGGGAGCCTTCAGTATTACCAACTCACCTGTGGATCTGTAGGCAGATTCCTAGGAAGGATCATACAGGCAAGATATGGGAACAGATGAACTGTTGAGAGCCACAGCTGAAGGGGCCCCAGCAAACTTCCAGCTGCCAGCAAACTTCCAGCTGCCAGCTGATGATTGGCTCACAGCGGCCCCAGCAAACTTCTAGCTGCCAACTGATTGGCTCCTCTGCGGTGATGCTCATTGGGCTGTTTCCCCGCCCTTTCAGACCACAGAGCTGCTCATTGGGGGACTTTTTTTGTCTCTGCCCACGCGACCCAGCCAATCAGCCTCAAGAGCAGGAGGAGTGAGGGAAGTTGAGAGGCTTGTGGGAAGCCGGTGGTGGCAGTTGGGCTCTGAGGGTTTTTCCTAAAGAGCTGTGCAGTGCTGTGTGTGTGTGTGTGTTCTAAAAATAAAGTTCGTTTCTTTTGACAAGTGGCTCCTGAATTGTGCCCAGCCAGACTGCGGCAATGAACTGATTAATTGAATGCATGTTCCATTACAAGTCCTTCTTTTCAAAGAAGTTAGCAACATATTGCAAATTGGAAGAGAAAACTTTATTTTTTTTTCATTTTGCTTAAGACTCTGAAAACCTAGTCTTTTCTCTGTCTTTCCTGAAGGGTAACTGGTAGACATCAGTGGGATCCAGAATCTCAGATTTTATCTATATATGCTTTAATGCATCCCTTCATTTAAACAAATCTTGCAACAGCTGAAAAGGCTTCAAGTTACTGACATAGAAAATATATGTTCAGAAGTCAGAAGCAAGCTCTAACCACTTCTCTAACCTGCACAGAGCCGCCCGGGTCCTCACAAATACATTTGTTCTTACCGTGCTATAGTCATACCACTGGGCTCTGGGAAAATAAGCACTGATCTCAAATGTGTTCTGAAACACAAAATGAACATGTCATTATTGAGTATTGCAATAAGGAAATAATTTTAACTTTTAAATCATTTTCTGAAGAATTAATATTAAAAATAGAATTCTATTAGGATGTCAAGAATTTGAGATTTTTTTTWAAAGAAATTATCTGAGAAATTCTTTTTCAAATACACAGAAAATAATTTTTTATAAAGAGTAAGTTGGAAAAGGGCAAAAGATGACAAAAATTTATAATGAGAAGTTAATCGTTACTGTGAGGCTTTCATTAATGGGAATCTTGGAAAAAACCAAAAAGATCTCCTTGAGACGTTCTAGAAAGTAAACAGTGATTGTGACAAGACAAGGGAATATTGAAAATGCTTTTCCTGTGACTTTGCACTGTGTGATAAGAGGCTTTCTGATCTACAATGAAAAACTCACACTTTCCAGCACAGGGCTGATCAAGATGGCAGRTCCCAACATAAACTGACGGTCTATATCCCACGTTGTCTTGTCATCTGTAAAYCTTAAATGATAAATATGAAAATTCACGCACACTGTTACAGAGGGTGATTTACAAGACCTGTCCAGATCTGCAGGCCACCCACAGGGGAGGAACACAGGCTATACTCACTCATGGAAAAGGGGTCGGATGACGGTTCTGCCCTCTGCGTGAGCGCTATGCATCAGAGTGTAGAGGTAGGGCAGCAGGGTATATCTGAGCTGCAGGGCTTTCCTTGAGAAGTATTCAAAGGTTGAATTCCAGGCCACAGGATCTTGTCTCTAAAGGGATAAGAGAACACATCACAGATCACCAATTTTGGTAGCATCAGAAAGGGGTTATCCAGTGTGTATACTGGATATATATACTTCATTCCAGCCTACTCTTTACCCTGCCCTGCCACCTGAAAAACTAGAAAGTGTGAAAGTGTTGCTCTTTCTTTTTACACTGATCCCTAAGGACCACACCCAGGTCCAGCTTTGCCCTTGCACATGAGAAGAGAAGTAGTTCTCTATTCAGTGCTGATATATCTCAGGTGAATCTGAATGCAACACAAATTCAATATTCTTAAAAGCAAGAGGTGCCTCTTATATTTCAGTCCTATGCAGGAACTATAAAAACTTCTTTCCCCATAGGTACTAATCCCCCAGAACATGATGAATAGTGTATTCTTAAAAATTATTGATAACTCTGGAGTTTTGAATTTTGTAGATATTCCAAGAAGAGGAGTTTTTGTGCTTTGTGTGTGTGTGTGTGTGTGTGTGTGCTTTTTCTCAGAAAATAGGTCTGATACTCTTGTGAATTAAAAAGACGGCCTGGCTGAGGGTACAAACGCCTGCAGCGTAAACGATGGCTGCCTCACCCTTGTCCCTTTGGTGTTGTGGTTCCTGGAGAAGGGGTAGAAGGCTCCCAGCTGCATCCAGCGAATACACATCTCATATTCAGCATCTCCAGAGAAGCCACAGATATCTGCTCCTGTCTGAGAAAATGAAAAAAATCAGAGCATGAGAGTAAAAGTTGCTGACATTGGAATCTGACAAGGCATTACTAATGACTCCAAGATGACTTACATAAGATATTCCAAAGAGACTGAACTCCATCATGCCTGCAATGAGATAATATGGCTGTGTTAGCAGAAGAGGTCCTTTTGGAAGAGAAAATGTTTGRCCAATTTTTCCCTACCATTCAAGACCCTGGGCCATTCATAATGAAAATATTGRAAAAAAATGATTGTAAATTAAAACCCACAACCACAAAGAACTCAACTCTTCTTGACTTTACTGCCTGCCTACATGATAATCTATACAGTACCCACCCCCCACAAAAAAAAAAAAAAAAAAACGAGCAAGAGACCCTGGGAACAAGCCACACACCAATGATAGATTTCCCCAGCTGGTCCCACTCAGCAGTGTTGTCTCCCAGCCAGTGTCCTCCCCAGCGGCCAGAGGAGGGGAATGTGGAGCGGGTGATGACAGTCCCTCGCTGTCCAGTCACTTCCTGCACAGCTCTGGTAGGAGGGGAACAAGATTGAGTTAACTGTTGAGTTGTTCCATGGCCCGAGTTCTTTCACTCAACCTTGACTTGTTAACTGATCAGTCTTTAAAAATGTAGTTTAAAAATGTYCCTYCCWTCCTAGCCAAGGTCTGACATTCAATAATGATCTCCTGTTGCTGATTTTCTGACCCCGATTGCATTTTCTACAAATTTCTGCCTACTCGAACACAGCATTGGGAACGAATGTGGTAAATTTTACAAAAGACAATGGACTTTGTTTAAAAGAACTCTTTCATCCTCCCTCTCATTTTTCACTGTGTAAAACTAGTCTCCTATTCTCTTYAATTTGTGCATATCAATTAGACAGAACGGGCGGGTTGTTGTGCCACATTTGTGCATATCTAAAAAAAATTTTTTTTGATCAATTTTACTCCCCAATACCTTCTCCACCCTCCCCCTAAGCTTCTTCCTATACCCTACTGGATCCCTACTAATTTCATGAAATACTTTTGTGTATGATTTGGTTTTTTTTCCTTCTAACTTCAATATATGAGAGAAAACATACACTTTTTCTCTCAGTCGGTTTTATTTTACTCAAAAGTATGGTCTCCAGCTCCATCCATTTTCCTGCAATAATATAATTCTGTGTATTTTTTATTGGCTGAATAAAACTCTACTGTAAGTATGTGTATGTATGGGTGAGTATATGTATGTGTGGAATATATGTATATAATTTATATATGATATATAAAATACTTATACATAAATTTTCTTTATTYATTTATTTGCTAATGAATACATAGGCTGATTCCATAATGTTATAATTCATGAGTAAGTCAATGCAAGAAGGTTCATAAAATAAACGAGACCCTTAACCCAATCAGTACATAAAGAAGAAGAAAAAAACAAGGACCAAGATTGAGGAAGCACAGCCATGGGATTCCATGCAGCTGGAGCATGAGGTAGCAGTATTGTTCCCTTCGGAGTCAGAGAACTTCTCCCCAAAAGGAATTTGCTATCTGAAAGTGATGCTGAGAATCCTAACCAACTTCACATCAGGACAGGAAGGGATACACCAGCCCCTAGAGTATGGATTTCATTTCTAAAAAAAATCTCTATTAAACTAGTTCTCTATGTGGACGGAAGAGGAGGGATGGGGTGAGGGCTTGACAACTATTTGTGGATCTGTTGCTGTATCCCAGCAGCACATGGTACCATCTTTGAAGCACATGAGGAAGGTCTCCCTGCATTCTTTTTACTGTTAGGAAACTGAAGTTCAGCTAAGTTTCAAAACTTGTTAAATATTATTTATAGAGCAAGGAGGCAAATCTGGGATCCAAATAACAATATATATGACTATAGCTTATTGGTACAATGCATTCTGTTATGCCATGCTTYAAAAAGCAGGTCATAGACCAGGTTTAGTGGTACATGCCTGTTGGGAGGCTGAGGCAGGAGGATTGTAAGTTCAAGGCCATCCTCATCAACTTAGAGAATCCCTARGCAACTCAGCAACCCTGTCTCAAAATAAAAAGGGCTGGGATTGTGGMTCAGTGGTCAGGCACTACAGGAGTTCAATTCCTGGTACCAAAAGAGAAAAGAAAGGAAGAAAAGAAGAGAAACAGCAAGTTATGTTTCCTCATGCACAAACATACATAAAGGATCTCCAAACAGCTCTTTAAAGAAAATGAATCTTCTGTGCACATATGTAGTCAGAAAATAAAACAACTATGTGAGATAAAAAAAATCAATAGAACAAAAAAGGCATTATCAAGTGTACAAATACACATTTGTATGTGTATTTGAAGAAATACATTTGAAGAGACAATGGTCAAAAATATATATACTGAAAACTAAAATTATTGTTGAAAGAAATTGAAGAAGTGGAAATATATTCTATATTAATGAATCAGAAGATTTAATATTGGTAAAGAAGTAACACTTCCCTAATTGATCTGCAGGCTCAATGTAACACCTATTGCTGTCCTGTGGAAATTGCCAAGCTGATCCTAAAATTCATATCAAATGCAAGGAAGCCAGAATATCCAAATAATCTTGAAAAAGAACAAAATTGAAAGATTTATAACTTGTTAAATAAGACAGCATAGTACTATTAAAAGGTTGATATAGAGATCAATGAAATAGAGTTGAGAGGCCATAAGTAATCACTCTCATTTACTGTTGGTTGATTTTTTAGAAGGTKCCAAGATGATTAAATGGGGAGGAGGAGAAATCAAACCTCTACTTCATATGGGCATTCTGTGAAAAGACAATTTACAGAATGAGAGAAAATATTTGCAGACCATRTATATAACAATCACTTGTATCCAGAATATATGAAGTGTTTTTACAATCCAATCCTAAAAACAAATAACTTAAAAATAGGCAAAGAATTCCAATAGACATTTCTGCTAAAGTGATACATAAATTGCCAATAGGTATATGAAACAATATTCAACAGAACTGATAATTAGGGAAATGAAGACAAAAATTGATGTACTTTAAGTCCATTAAAATATCTATAATAAAAAGGGTAAAAATAGCTTGTGTTGGTATGGATACAAAGTAACTTAAAACCCATTATAATGTCTATAATAAAAAGGGTAAAAATAACTTGTGTTGGTATGGATACAAAGTAACTTCAACCCTCATCCATTGCTGGTGAGAATGTCAAATGGTATTTTTTCAAGGCCAAACTCTTTACAGTTCTTAGAAAGTTAATATCTCTAAGATATTAAATATACGGTTACGATACCATCTGAAAAGTCTACTCCTAGATATATATTAAAGAGAAAATAAACACATTTCAATTCAAAATCTTGTAGTAAATGTTTATACATGTCTATTCATAATAGCCAAGATCTGAAAACCACTCAAATGTCTGCTGGCTGATAGACACATGAAATGTGCTCTATCTTGACAGTAGAATATTATTCATCAACAAAAGGAATGGAGTACTGATACATCCTGCAACRTAGATGAACCTTGAAAACATATACCAGGGAAAGAAGCCAGACACAAAAAATATTATGCAATTTCATCTACTTGAAATACACAGAATGGATAATGTTAACGACAGAAAGTAGCTTAGTATTGGCTGGAGCTCAGGAAGTGGGGACAGGGAGGAATGACTGCTAACAGATCAAGGTTTTTCTTTTGAAATGATGAAAATATTCTAAAATTTTATTTTAGTGTTGGATGTACAACTCTGTGAATGTACTCTGGGTTGTTTGGGCAACSAGGCGTGATCTGTTTGACACTGCTCCATTTAGCTGGCATCATGTAAGTACAAACACAATACAAATATGAAACAACAAATTTTACAGGAATGTAGAAAATTATCTACGCCGCAATTGACAAAAACACTCACTCATATGTCGGTCTGGTCTGGGACCACCCGTACAGGCTGTGTACGTCATAGTGTCGCACCCGGGAGCCATCTGGCAGGATCTGCTCACTCTCCATGCACAGGGTCTTACTGCTCAGGCCTTTGTCCCTAGATTCCAAATCTGAGGGGAAATGTTGAGTTATTTCCCAAATGACTTGTACATTCATTCTGACATTTCTCTATTTCAATCAGCACTTTTGTTACCAGTAACAGGTTCAATTTCCGGGTTTTCTGTTTTGTTTTTTTTTTTAATGTACAAAAGCAACATCTTATGACTTAATAAAATTTGTAAAAGGTAAGAATGGGGTATGGCAGGGGAAAAGTACCCTTGGCTGTGTTCCAACTCTAACTTAGGGAATGCTGTCACCACTGGTTTTACAAGTTGACAAACTCCTTGGGTGAAAGGATTGGGTTTTCCACTAGATGGTAATGTTCTCAAGGGAATAGATCTTGTTTTGCTCAATCTCCCCAGCTTTTGCCTGTCATATACATGTGGGAGGAAGGAAAAACTGAATGAAAGAACATTGAGTTAACAGACACAGCTCTGCACGGCAGTGATCTAGACACAAAGAAACCTGTGTCCCAGATTCTGCTTCATGAATTTCTGGTACACTGCTCATAGGAACTTACTTCCTTTTGGGGCCTCTGTAAGATGAGAGGATTCAATCATTTGAGAAGTGTTTGATCCCAACATCATATTTCAGTTTGCACCCAGAACTACCAAGGGGTATCTTTCATGAACTATTTGCAAACACAGGCTGAAAGTTCAGGACTAGATTTTCATTTAAAAATAGAGAAAGAGAGAGAGAGAGAGAGAGAGAGAGAGAGAGAGAGAGAGAGAGAGAGAGAGAGAGAAGGGGTTTATTGAAAAGTTTTTCATTTGGGGCAATTATTAAGAATACAAGTAACAATGAATGTTGGCAAGGATGTGGGGGGAAAAGGTATAGTCATACATTGCTGATGGGTCTGCAGATTGGTGTGACCACTTTGGATAGCAATGTGGAGATTCCTCAGAAAACTTGGATTGGAACCATCATTTGACCCAGACATCTCACTCCTCAGTCTATACCCAAAGGACTTAAAATCAGCATACTATAGTGACATGGCCACATCAATGTTTATAGCAGCTCAATTCACAATAGGTAAGCTATGGAACCAAACTAAGTGCCCTTCAACAAATGAATGGATAAAGAAAATGTGGTATATATACACAATGGATTATTATTCAGATATAAAGAAGAATGAAATTATGGCATTTGCTGGTAAAAGGATGGAACTGGAGGMTATCATGCTAAGCAAAATAAGCCAATCCCAATAAWCCAAAGGCCAYATGTTCTCTCTGATATGTGGATGCTAACACATAATGAAGGGGGRGCAGAGAATAGAAATTCACTRGATTAGACAAAGGGGATGAAGGAAAAGGAGTGGAAAGAAAGACAGTAGAATGAGTCGGACTTAACTTTCCTACATTCTTATATTAGTACACATCCAGTGTAACTTCACATCATGAACAATGACAAATAAGGGAAGTTATACTCCATGTATGTATAATATGTCCAAATATTATACATGTATATCTAAAAAGAACATTTTTCTCATATATATCTAAAAAGAACAATTTTTAAAAGTTTAGCATTCAGTTCACCATTGTCAACATAATAAAAKGCATTGCTTGGTTTCTTTCATACAATGTCATGTCATTATTTCTACACACACACACACAAAAAAAAATAGGCTTTACTTTGACAGCAAGAGGGAAATCTTCAGTGTTTGAACAGGGCAATAATTTGACAAAGTAACATTTTACCTACCTGGCATATAGGGTGGGTTATTAAGAACTGCACTGCGGCAGCCCCCAACAGATCCATCCACAAAGTTTGASGGCTCATTCATATCCTGGATTAAGTGAGCAAGAGAAGATTCCATCACATCAGGTCCGTATGGCCTTCACCTAGAGGGCACTAGCTGCAGAAGATGCCCGGGCTGCACTGAAGCTTCGTCTCTGTAGTGGCTCAGGGGACTCTGCTTAATCCTGGCATTGACTAAAGTGGACTTAAGAGTCCACATCTGCTTCTGTGGAGTGTTAAACTCCTTCCGGCTCACTTGGCATTTTTAAATTTATGAATTGGTAACCTAGCAGCAAAAATATTGAGACTATGCTGAATCCAGAACCTAAGGAAATATTTTGATTCATCTATACCACAGGAGAAGCACATCTTTGTTTGTCTACCCACAAATTATTCACTTTGTATCTGCAGCCAGGGGCCACTACGATCTCTCTCTCCTTTTTCTTAGCCAATARCTTGGACTAATTCTGCTATTCATGTGCACCAAACACAAGGAGACATATCTCACTTTCTGCAGTAGACACATTCCTGAAAAGTTGTATATGATTCAGAAACCAGTCTGGAAATAAAATCATATTTTGGCAAAAGTTGTCTACTTTATAAATAGAGAAGTTAAAGTTTTGTATGTTATGTTATCTTATATGGAACATACTAAAGGCAAAGGCAAGTATTTGGACAACTATTCATTATTTTGAATTATGCAGCTTTCTTTCAATGGGAACAAATACTTCAGTTATCAGAATCTCTTGTTTCTCAAAGTTATCTATATCTCTTCACTGTCTGATTTGCCTGTTTGGGTTCATTTATGCATTCTCACCTGTCTGCTCTGTGCCTATTTACCCTGAAGGTTCAAGTGGTCAGGGAGGCCCCCAGGCAGACAGTGGGCTTATAGGTTTGTCTTGTGAATCACAAGCTTCTTGCAGCCTGACCTAGCCTTGAGCAGCTCTTCCTAGCTGATCTGGTAACTGCTTAGGTTTTCAGGCCACTAGATAGAGGGGAAGGAAATCACGACATTRATAAGATTCCTATCCTTAAAAAAACATAAATAGAGGGGCCCTTGGACACATGTCCCAGAGATCCTCCAGAAGCCCTTCACTCAGGGCTTTTTAAGCTATTCCTTCAGGGTTAATGTCTCTTTGCTCATAGATTTATGCCTTGCCTGTCCCCAGTTCTGCCCTGTGTTGCAGGACAGGCTTTAGGGCTTCTAGGTCAGTTTAGCCAATAAGAAGCACCAGCAAGAGATGGAGGGTTGAGAGTAAAAGACGAGGGCACCGCTCCCTCCCCCTCATGCCCTGGCATCTCCTGCAGTAGCACGTCTCCTCCATGGGCTCCCACTTCCTCCAGAAGACATGACCCTGGGCAGGTCCACAATAATCTCTGCTACTCCTATTCCCAGGACCTAGGTTCTGTACCATCACCCTTCCTTTCATGCCTCTGGTTCCAGTGCCCTGCTTCTTCTAGTCTCGGAATTGCTTCCCCAAGTTTTGAATGTGAACATTCTAAAGAGTAATCACTGAGGGTGCACTTACGATCGACAGTCCATCAAACTTCAAGCTCTTCCCTGGCTCTCTGGGGTTAGCATAGAGCTCGTTTATCTCTTTCTTCCACCATGCAGCTGTGCTRTTACGAAAGAAGTCAGGGAACGCAACATGGGCCCTGTACATCTGTAAGAGTGACACGTATTGTCATAGTGAGGTCATGCATGTCCAAGAAGGGGAATCCTGGGAACAGGAAGGGGAGATGAGCAGGCCCTTGATCCTGTCCAGCTCAGCGTCTGATTTAACCTCAATTCTGCTGCTGTTGGTGTTTCAAAGTTTACAGTGGACACACAGTTGGGGAAAGGATGCGTTCATTCTTAATTTTCTTAGAAAAAGGTTAGATATCTTTTAAACATAGAACTTCCTTTATGACTAGAAAATTAGTCATRGCAACTAGAAAACCAATAGTCAGCATCTAAACAATGTAAATTTAGAGATGCATGACTCATTTGACTCATCAAATGAAATGCAGGAGGACCCCATAATCCAAGGAGAAGCAAGCTGCACAGTAGAGGGGTTGGTGGGTGCCAGGCTGATGTGGGAGCAAGGGCTGAGACCAAGTCCTTTGCTCCTTTCAACTGGCTAGTGTTTGCTTTGGTATGTAGGTAATTCATTAACCTGCAAAGGGTATTTGTTCATAAGAGATACTCTTCCGAGAAAGCATTCTGGACTTTGGTTCCTTATTTTTCAAACAACACTAGATTCAAATTGCAACCCATTAAAAGCATACATGTAAGGAACTCCCTGGGTAATTTTCTTCTATACTTTTCCATTTTAGCTATTTTTTAGGTTTCTCACTTGAGGATCACCTTCTGCAAAAAAAAAAAAAAAAAAAAAAAAAATACCACCAGACAAGCACACTGGCATTAAAGCCACTTAACCAGAGCATAAGCTATTTATCTAACAGAATAAAACAAATAATATCCAGATATGTAGGACAATGAAGACCAAAATCCATGTATGACTGTACCTTGACCTGAGTTTCCTGGTCAAGGGATTCATCCACATTTACATTGGGCAGCTCTGGCCAAACCTAGAAAAAAAGAGGAAATATTGAAACCTTTAAGTCATGGCAAACAGACCATGAGGTGTTTCATATGTTAGACTTTCATGACATGCATCTTCACAAATGCTGGGCATCTAGGCCATAAACTAAATTGTAAATACAAATCAATAGATGAAATCCTGCTAGGTGAAATCCTGTTAGGCTCAGATCTTTTTGTTTCATTCCATAGGTTTTCATAATGTTATTTTTAACTTAATAAGTAACCCAATTCATTTTAGATGTGTCTTCTGAGTAACCATCTTTCAAATAATTACTCCGTTGCCTGGTCTGCCTTTTATTTTTGTGTATAACAAAATCCCCTTTATAAAAATAAATGTTAAGGTTGACTCTAAGAATAAGATTGATTTACATTCACAGCCATAAACTCTGTCTCAATACTTCTAAGTAATACCATAACTTTTGGGCACCCACAAATGTACTTAGTGTTTAAAAAAACTTTCATATATCAACCAATTTCATCTGTAATTAGCAGGACTTTATATACATTGATTAATTAATTCAACAAGGAAATAGTTACTGAGGACTTATTATGAGGATCTATATCTACTGAGATTATAGCAGTAAATACTGCCTGTTTTTTCCCAGAGTTCACAGAGAGTAATATATAAGTGCTAYATGGTATGCTATACTCTCTCTGGAATGACACACGAAAGGGAAAACAGCAACCGAAACAGTAATGGAGTACTTCTCAAGAAGTAAGATCTGGGCTGGGGATGTGGCTCAAGCGGTAGCGCGCTTGCCTGGCATGGGTGCAGCCCAGGTTCGAACCTCAGCACCATATACAAACAAAGATGTTGTGTCCCCGAAAACTAAAAAATAAATATTAAAAACTCTCTCTCTATCTCTCTCTCAAAAAAAAATAAGTAAGATCTGAGTTCGTCTTGGGGTGCAGATATTATCTGGGGACACCGAGAAGGCTATATTCAAAATGAGAAAGGCGTGTATCCAGAACTGTAGGCAGTAGCATAGCAAAATTAAGGAACAGAGTTGGAACTTGGCAGAAGCTACTGTCATGTGGGTCAGGAAGTTCACATAAAACACTGCTGCTATAAATCAGATAAATGAGGATGAGGATTGAGGCCACAGAAAAGGAATTCAAGGGGTCAAAGAAAMAACAAGAATCTATAGGACTTGGTGATTCATTTAGATGAGAGGCTGAGTAAGCATCKTAAGTCAAAGATGATTGTGAGTTTTGAGTTTGGGTGGATGGGAGACACAGATTTCAGAGTCTCTCTCTCTATGAGATTCCTAATGTTTACTACTAAATGACTAGCTGGAATACATAAAGGGTGGAGCATCAGAACATATCCAGGCAATAACCTGGTGTTCACCTATCTAGAGGATTAAAGCTCTGACCTTGGTCTTATTAATGTGTATTAAGCTAATCAGCATCAGATAGATTTCTACTCATTCATAATTTATTAATTAACCAATATATTTTTGTACGATTTATTGAGAGCATCTTTTAATCAAGACATAGTGCTGTGTATTAATTATAGCCCCTTCCCCAAGCCTCACCTTTCCCCAGACAATGTCATYGGTGTCAGGCCATTTGATGAACACGTTGTCTTCCTGTCCTCTGGTGAAGGTGAGATAYTGTGTCTCATTGCCAGAAATGGCTGGGTCCTGCAGTGACAGGATTTAAGACTGCAAAGGTGAGAAAAATGTCCCTAAGGAAAGTCCTCTCCCAAACTTTGACAATTTAGTGCAGAAAGAAATGATGGACCAAAATAAAATTAGATAAATAAAAAAGCATTGATAATTTGACATATCTACTGGGAATATTACATAACCAATTAAAATGGAAGTTTCCACCGGAACCCAAAAGTAAGATAGATGACCCTTATAAAGGATGACCTCTTTCAAAGGGAGCAAGAATCTTTTACATATTATAGAAAGTAAACACTCAGAACCACAACTAAAGAAGTGAAAAAAAATCATAAAAATTGAAATATAATATGACATATGTGACTTTTTCAATAAACAGGGAAATTAATATTTTTAAAAAGAGACCTAAGAATTAAAAGAATTTGTTAATATTTCTCCATAAAATTATTGAGAAATAAAGATGTGCTAATGTTTGGAAAACAAATCCTGGAGATAAAGCAGTTTAATAAGATATTATCCTCAATTGGAGAGAGACAATTTATAGCATTTCCAGAATCTAACAGCAGTGCTCCTTAAGAAATTGAACTTCTGCATTCTATTCTCTGGTGCGGCCATCTGARATGGACATTGATGTTCAGCCCATCTCACACCTTTCCCAGTTACTCCCTATATTAAGCTGTTTTCTAATTGCCATGTAAATCATCATTATCTGAAATTACCTTCCTAATAGTTTTTTATTGGCTGTCTCCCTTTGCTAGAATAAATGTCATTAATTCATTAATTTAAAACACACGCACTCTTTCTAAAACAGTGATTTTCAAGTAGCCAATGTTTTGTAAATACTTAAATTTTTAAATGAACAAGAATCATGCTCTGATTTTTGGAAGCTAGAAGGAGGAAATCCTTTGTGGGTAGTTACTTCTGTATTTACCAAGATATAACTTTTCCAATGTAAAATAATAAGTTGGCATTCTGGATCTTACCTCCATTGTTTGTGGGCTTAATAAAAGAGAAATGGGTCCCCTAAGACTCGTGATTGCTGAATGATGATACAGTATAAGAGATTTTTTAACCCCCTGCAGTTTCCTAAAAATGAGACTGAGCTATAGCTATTCATCCTGAAGCCTGAAATAGTGAGACCCYTTTTTCTTTCCTACATTCAGTGTTTCTGCCCACAGTTGTCCTAACTCTGTCCCCAAAAAAGTATTGATTAATTAAATCCTAGTGGCATTCAGCAATGAAAAAATAATAAATATGACAAAGTATCACCTCTTACAATGCATTTTTTCACCTGTTCTTTCCTTCTTTATTGGCTTTTCAAAATTTTTAAAAGATAATAATTAAAGACTCACAGGAAGAGGCCTAGATGCGTGTGTGTGGGGGTTTCTTTTACCTTTTTCCCAGTACTTCCCAGGGGTTTAATTTTTGAATCGTGAACACAGAAACAGAAAGAGGCATGCAATCTGCCTTCACACCTACCAGAATGAGAATAAATCTGGTGCCATTCTTCTTCATTTGCTCTATCAGGACACCGAGGTTTTGAAAGCTGGGGCTGAGGGTGAAGTCCAGCTTCCGGTCCATGTAATCGATGTCCACATGCTGGACGTCCTACAAGAAGGAGCGGACACTCAGGCTCCTGCAGCGGTACCTGCAGGGCACTCTAACTGCTCTTCCAGGCTCCAGACCCTGCTGCTTGCTCCCCCAGCCCCGGYCCTCATCATTCCCCATCTCAATACCCACCACACTGACTTTGCAATTATGTTGATTGACCTTGCTTTCTGATTCCAGCTCACAATTCACCTGTCCCACTTTCTTCTTCTGTGCCCCCAACAGGAACTTGCTTTCTCTCAATTTATGTCTTACTCACTTGTCAAATCTCAAATTTGGTGAGCCTATCATACAAAAAGCCAGTGGAAGTGTTCAAGAAAATGAGACTTCCCTAATAAACCAAAAAGGTTGCATACTAAGTTTCTTTTTTTCCTACAGTAAACCTTATCAAATTCAATCAACTTAGAATACATATTTTACTTTAAAATATATATATATCACGTGTTTATTATATTGTAAATAGAATATCTATATATTCAAGAAAGATTTAACATTCTCTAATATTTATTTATTGGTTGTCTCCCTTCACTGAAATAAATGTCTTTTATTCACTAATTTAATATATATTATATACATATAATTTATATACAACATACATATATATTATATATGACATATAATATATTATATATGACTTATATAATATATTATATATGACTTATATAATATATTATATATAATGTTAAAGACATATAATTCATAGGATTTATATACATAAATGGCATGATTGCTTTGGTGAGGCAGATCTATGAACTTTTTCATCTTGTGATTTTCCTATATTTTAAAATTTCTGTTTAATAAGTTTATAATAAAAGTTAAGCATGGACATGTGTCAATTTAAAAAAAAAATTTGTGGTTGTAGATGGACAGAATGCCTTTAATCTATTTGTTAATTTTTATGTGGTGCTGAGGATAGAACCCAGTGCCTCATGCACACTAGGCAAGTGCTTTGTTACTGAGCTATAGCCCAAGCCCTCAAATTATTATTGATGGGAATATCATAGCACTTTATTCTCATCTTCCAGTTGTTAATTGCCTTTAAAAATCTCAGGAGGTGAACTGAAAGCCAATAAAGACAATGAGTGGTAGAAAACTAATCAGTAGAGAAGGAGCGCACTGTTTGTGGATCCAGTTGACCACACTTCTCAGGGCTTTCCTGGGGAACTAGGTGGGTACTTAGGATATGTGTGTGTGTGTTTTAAAGAAAGCAAAGCTTCATTTTAATCACTTCCTTGCCTATTGCCACTTCATATCCATCTCACACAGACCCCCACTTCTAAGACTGCCTTGGCCACTACATGATGTTCCAGCGAGTCAGTGGGTGCCAATACCCTCCGCTCATTCCACCAGTGGCCAAAGGACCCATGCAACTCTTAGTTTTGAACCTCGACTGAAAAGAGCAGCAGGCAAAGATTTTAAAAAACAWTGTATTCACACAGACCTAGCTCCACAGCTACAGGATTTATGCTGAAGTAGYCACAGTAATAATTTCAATGAAGCTGTTTTTCAATACACAATTAGTCACAGAATCCCATAGCTAAACCCAGAGGTTGAGGGAGGGTTTCATACATAGGGGATCTGGGCTGCCACCATTGCATCATGCAGACTGGCGATTTCAGAGTCATTCTGGTATCCATAGCGACTCAGCTGGAATCCCAGAGCCCAATATGGAGTCATTGCTGGCCGACCAATCAACTAGAATAGAAGAATGCTAATTACCCTGATAAGATCATTACACATTGTATACATATACCCAATTATCATACCATACCCCATAAATGTATGCAGATRTTATGTCAATTAAAAAAATAAAAACTAGATCCAAGTAACTTTGTAAGGAAGAAAAGATAGTTGACTTTTGTTTGAAATAATTTGAAAATTTCTACTGACTACTGTCTGACCTGAGGCCACCCTCCAAAAAAATAGGGAAATCAAATAAATGTGGAACAACCCTAGAGATGAAGAATGCTAGAAACATTGTAATTAACMTTTCCCTATATTCTATTACACTGTGAAACCTGAGAATGTGGTGGTCATTACTGATCTGAGATTCTTAAGATAGGCTATTTAGCAAGCAACTGAGAGACGTGTAATATTAATATGCATTTAGCATCCATATTAGTAAAATCTGACTTACACCCCAGGGTAAAAAGAAAAAGACTGACCCATCTCAGTACTGAAAACATGGTAACAATACCCAATAAATATTTAGTGATATATCAATGGATAGAATGGCTTCCAACCTCAGTGTATTGCTGAGTTACCAGTTCGGGGGTTGGCCCCAAAACCAAATAAAAGTCCAAAATCCCTCCTACAGTGCGGTATGTCAGGGCAGGAGTGGGCTGCAGAGTCATATCTGTAAAAATTTTAAAATAAAGAGATAGTTGAGGAGCTTGTAAGACACCCAGAAAGAGAGATGCTCTAAAATGTGCTATCTTCACTCTCCTTCCTTCATGTCTATCTCCTCTAGAATGTCCTCCCTTGTCCAGTGGAGTCAGAGATGGACCTGCAGTACCCCAAACTGCATCTACCACATTATATGACACTCAACAGCTGATATCACCTGCATTAAGGAACTGAGGTGTCACAGCAAAATAAGGGACAGCAGATAGTCAAATGGTACAATTAATGCCTGTTCTGGAACAATTTTTAAGTATTGAATAAGTGAACAAATGAATGGAAGGTCAGTTTGTCCATGCCATTTTCCTTGCCCCTTAGCTTATTCGTTTCCAGCAATCTCCCAGATGACAATGGAGTGGTCAGGTTGTTTGTGGTGCCGCCCGGGGAGCACGCCCCTGTCTTACCCATGGCATTGCTGTTCAGCAGGAGCACTCCATGGGCATTCCCATCTTCTTCCAAGGCCATGTAGTAGGGGTGAACACCATAGGAATTTTTCTTGTACTGGTAATTGAAAGTCATGAGAGTAATAGAAAGAAAAATCCAATAGTTTCCAGATCATAATCCAAACAGCAAACTCATATTCYATGTAAAAGATTTGATTCAGCATTATATCTTTTGTAGAACCTTCTTTGACCTTCCTTTCCACCCCAGCCTAAAACCTATGTCCTCCCCCTCTCTGTCACCTTTATTGATTATTACATAATTCTTTTTTTTTTCCTTGKGGTACTGGGGATTAAACCCAAGGCCTTGCTTATGCTAAGCAAGTGCTCTGTCACTGTGCTACCTCGCCAGCCTCTTATATTTTTACTTCTGAGACGGGTCTCACTAAGTTTCCTAAACTGGCCTTGAACTTGTGACCCACCTTCCTCAGCCTTCCAAGTAAATGTGCACCAACATGTGTGGCTTATTATTACACAATTCTATCACAGCACTCACTACACTGTGCTATCATTATTTCTACACCAATCTGTCTGTCTATAAACTTCTGAAGGGCAAATATAGTGTCTTATTAAATTTGCAGATAAGCATCTAGCAATGTGCTCAAGTATTGAATATATTAAATAAAAGTTTGTGAAATAAAATTTGTAATCCATGGGAGACGGGAGGAAAAATATATGTTATGAGTTTGTTTGTTTGTTTTACAGATAAAAGAGCATGACCTGTGGCCTCTAATAACCTTACAACCAAGAGCTAGAAAGGTGAGGCTGATAAATGGAACCTCATCTACTGGCCTAAGAATTAAAAGTAAATTTGCCGAAGGAGAAACTGCTAATTTCATTTTTGTCCTTACCGCTGGTGGCTCATCCCGAGCAAACATTCCCCAGGTTGTCCAGTTCATGTTTCTTCTGAAAGTCATGTGCTCAGTTTCCCCMAAACCATAGATGTACTGAGAAGGGAGGCGAGTAGAAATGGAAAGGAACATGTCGTTGAAGGTGAAGCCCGGGAGTTGAGAATCCCAACTGCAACACAAAGGCAGACCTCCAAGCTGAGCTGCAGATCTCAGGCAGAGCAAATGGAGCAAATGGGATGCCTAGATGATTCAGAAGCCTCTTGAATCATTGCACATCAAGATCCAGGTTCAAATGTTATAAAAGGACCAGGTTATAACAATAGCTATGACTCAGTACCAAGGTTCCACATTTGCATTTTAATTCTGTGCTTTGCAAGACTGAGAGCTCCTTCTCAGAACTATGGGCTCATTGAGGGCAAGTACCAGGTCTCATTCATCTCTTTATGTCCAGTTCTCAGTGCCTGGCATACCAGCAAATGTGAATAAATGAATGAGATCTAAAAAGTACTTTTGGATAGAAAAAATTGACACTTTTGGAATAACTTCTCTAGATTGACCAGAGAACTCACTGAAAATGAAAACAGAGAAAATCAGATACATAGTCAAAGATAGCAGAAGCCCCACATAGGAAAAAACACAAATGTGMATACAAGTGACAACCTTTGCTGGGATGGGAGGCCTCACCCTGGGCAAAGCCTGGACCTCAAGCATCAGGATAAGAGATGAGAGATGACAATCCACATTTTCACACTTAATATCATAAAAATGCTTGAAGTCTATGGTGTCTATAGAACCAAAGATGATGAAAGTCCTTTTCTCTCTTCATACCCACCTCTTTCCTCTCTCCTGCCTCTTCAATTATTATTTCTTAATGAAGCATAATACAGAACAGACATATCTGAGGTTATTTGTTATACTTACTTAACAGTTTTCTGTTCTACTTAACAAGAGTAACAAATAGGAAAGATATTTCTTTCTTTGAATTCAAACAACACTTGTGGCTTTTTAAACCTAAGGTTGATTAATCTTTCTGAGTTAATGACTAACTTAAAAATAAATTCCCTAATGAAGTAAGAGGAAATTGACATGCTCTTTAACAAATGCACACACACATCATGAAGAGTCTCTGAGTCTAATATTTTACTTGCCTTAATTAGCAACACCATAATTACCATCAGTCACTCTGATTAAAGCCAATAAATAGCACTTACATCACAGTTTGGGAACTTCTGCGTCGAATCTGGATTCCAGGGGGATTGTTCTGAACCCTGACTTCATACAGGCAGTTTTCAGGGGAGACAAGCGGTGAACGTGGTGTGTTCAGAGGTACCGGGACCTCGTACCTTTTATTAGTGGGATCATAGATCTGGCAAGGAGAGAAAAATAAAAAASTCTTCCTGATGGAGTCTGAGACCTGATACCCCTCATGTTAGCCCACAGATTTCATTTCCAATGTTGTTTGTTTGTTTTTGACCAGTTTGAACCACATCAGGAGGCACTGAATATCCCAAGAGCAGTTGCGAGGCCTCCTTATCTACTGTGGCAGATTCTGAGCTTCCAAAATGCCTCAATAATACCCACTCGAGAGAACTTGTAATCTAAGGTTAGAGAATCTTGTGGATAGAGTGTTTATATGTACTTAGGATGTGTGCCATATGAACATACATGTGCATGTAACTTCAAGACTGTATGTGAGAGATTGCATGTGTATACTGGGAACTAGACCTCTTTACCACTTGAGCTTCCAGATGCTGCATGCCTTCTCAATCCTTCAGGTTTCTCCTTTGTACCCTCTATTCATTCCTACTCATCTAACAGGATTGGTGTGAGAAAAAACAAGAGGACTGCAGCATGCATGCAAGATAGGGACCTTCACCACCATGGCGACCATCCCCTCCTCATGCTGCTATTAGCCCACAGCCTGGACTTCAGTAAAGCTTTTTCTAAAGCCCTACTTTTCAAAACTCTGTTTCTTAAACCAAAAACAGCAGCATTGCCTGGGAGCTTGTTAGGAATTCAGACTCAGCCTCTGTCCCAGATCTGCTGGTCAGAACCTTCAGGTTCACAGGATGCCCACAGTGATGGAGGACACACTCAAGTGAGAGGAGCAATGTCAAGAGCAGAGCTGCTCAAGCCTGTCTCCACCAGCCATGTGTGGCTTTTGCACACCAGAAATGCATGAGTCTAAATCAAGATTCACCACAAGTGCAAACACATACCAGATTTTGATGACTTAATTAAAATGTTGTGAAATATCTCTCCACAATTAAACTTGGATTTCAAAATGAACTGATACATATTTTAGAAAATTGGTTAAATGAAATAGCTAATTTACTTGTATGAGTGTGTATGTTTTTCAAACACGTTTTTTTAAAAAAAATACCCCTACTAGAAAACAAACTTGGTTCTCACTGTATTTCTGGTAAGTAAAGGACAAGAGTGGGTCTCAAAGTGTGGCCCTTTTACCTGAAGCATCAGTCAGCATTGCTGGAGAACTTAGAAATGCAAATGCTCAGGCTGGGCCAGCCCACAACGCTGAACTGAAAACCGTAGGGTGAGGCTGAGCAGCCTGAGTTTTAACATCTGCAGGTGATTCTGATGCATGYTAAAGTCTGAGAGCCACTATTAAAGAAATATCTAGAAATTCTGGAAGCCATTGGTTCCTCTCATATGTATTAACCACAAATCAAATTCATGTTTTCAGGGCTAAGAATTTTTTGAGAATATTTATGATCTAGAGAATTCATTATTATAGGAAATTCACAAGCCTGATGTATCGATCTAAGGTCACACCCTGCCTCTGTCATTTACTTTTGACCTTTATCTCTCTAAGGCCTTCTCAGCTCCTGCATGCATGAACAGAGAGATTTGGATGAAAAGTCTTTTCATGACTCTCATCTACACAGGCCTGTAGGTTAAGAACTCACCTTGAAAACCAGAATTGGCAGCATGGGAATTACCTTTATCTGCAGCATGCTCTCTGTATGGTAGGTCACACTCAGTCTGAGGAGGCTGATCTTTTCAGAGAGACGATTAGAGACAGTGGCTGCTCCTGGTGATGGTGGAGCTGCYGCTGCCCGGGTAGATGCAGGGACCGCCAGGAGGGTAAGGTCGGTGGTGATGCCCGTGGGCAGGTACTGAATGTTACTGGCAGCATAGTTAGGGATGGTGTCATAGTAACAGGTGGGCACACCAGGAGTAGCTGTGGGCTACAACAACAGGAGATGCTCTTGGTCAGCCTCGGACACCATACTCTGAGATTCTAATTACTAAAGAAGCTGGTTAGCACAGACCAAATCAGACTGCTTTGCCCTTTCTTATCTGATGAATCATGTGCCCCCCAAAGATAAACCCCACGCCCTGGTACTATGAATGTGACTAGTTGGAAGCAGGGTCTTTGTGAATGATCCAAGTGCAGAAGAGGTCATTAGGATGGGTTCCCATTCAATATAACTGGTGATCTCAGGAGGGGAAATTTAGACACAGGTGTGAACATGAGGACAGAGAKTGAGTGAAGCATGTGCAAGCTAAGAAATGCTAAATACTGCCAGTCTGACACCAGAAGCAAGGCTTAAATCATGGAACAGAACCGACATCACAGCCCACAGAGGGAGCCAACCTTGCTAATGTCTTGATCTCAGACTTCTAGAGTCTAGAACTAGGAGGAAATAAGTATGTATTGTTCTAAGCCAATCGGTTTGCATGAATTTGTTAAAGCAGCCCTACCCAATGACACAGGTACACTCATTTCTCTCTCACACACACATACACGCGCGCACACACACACACACTCCCAAGCCTTCTGTAATGAGTGAATCCTTCAAGAACAGCAGGAAGCCCAGTCTGGAGCCTGGAACCCTGAGGCAGGGTCTGCTCCCAGGGTCCTTACTGCCCTAAATCCCATCTTGAGGAATCCTTAACTCTCTCAGGCTTTCATTCTCTCCATTGTTCATATGAAAGGATCCGGCTTCCCTTAACCCTTCTTCTTTGGGTTCTCTAATAGAAGAAAAATTAATTCCCTTAAAATACCCAGTGAATGATACAAACTCACTGGACWCTACCATATAAAATGGGGTTTTGAATGACATGGCTGGGGAAACAATCAGAATAGCCATGAGTCTCTTCTGATTCTGGATATCTGAGGAAAATAGGTATCCTGAAGAGTTGACAGATGCATATGGGCACGCTGTCCTGGTGCTCTTCGGGCCACAAACTTTTAAAGTGTTTCCTTGGTGCTTAATGACTTGTGGGGCAATTTCTCTAAGTTCCTGGTCAACATGGGAGCTTGCCTTTGCTCCATACCTCCCAAAGGCATCCCCGCTGTCTGCAACTCTCCTCAGAGGCAGTGGGATCCTCAGGGTAGCAGTTGAACTTCTCCAGATCATTGACTACAAGATCCCACTCTATAGAGAATTCTTGTCCCAGAACCAGTCCCTGGAGATCAGTGATGGTCACCACCTGGRGAAGACAAAGAAGACTCCAGTGACAAATGAGATGAGGTAGAATTGTGTGGACAAAGTCCTGCCTGGTGGTCTGGAAGCCATGTGTAAATACTCTCCAGTACTAGGCTAATGTGTGCAAAGTGTCTCCCTGGGTCTTAACCGGGCTCAGCCTGTCTAGTTCTAAATGTCTAGAAAAGAGTTGTCTCCTTTCTTAGGGTTCCAACTCTCGTATCTTCTTCACACCCTAATGTAAGCAAAGTGGTAGGGTTTGGATTTATATGCAAAAGTTTCCCCTGCACTCTGCCTGTGATGCCGTGGCTGTCCCAAGCCAGTGTCCTATCTGACTGCCCAAAGTCAAAAAACAGAGAGGGACTATTCTTCAGAATCTCAGGACAGGGCTTTCAGCAAGGACCTGTGAGATGGAACAATCTCTCACCTTTGTTGAAGCACTGTAGACAACACTGGAAATGGAGGTGGCAACATTATTTAAAGACACAATGAAATTACTCGGCTCTTTGTCCATTCCCAAGATTCTGATATCTGTAAACATGAGGTTGTCCGGGTCCACATAACCATTATGTATGATCTTTGCCTGTAGACGGTTCTGGAGGGGAAAAGCCAGTTTGCAGTAAGTGCRTCACATTCAATATCTCTCTGGGATCTTACGTGTTTCCCTTTTCTCTGTGTTCTAAAGGCTGCTAAGTATCATCCCCAGGGAGCCTCTGACTCAGACTCAAGATCCTAAGTCTTTCAATAGTATTTCAGGTTTGCTTTGGGCCACTGGCTCTCACGGATTCATTACTCAGATTATCTGACCCTGACATTAAGGATAGTCTGGTAGACAGGATAGGTTCTTGCAAGGCAAACAGAGATACAAGCACACACAAAGACCACTGGTACACAGATATAGACACACACACACACACACACACACAAACTTTTTCTTTTAATTTTAATTAATAATAAGAGCTAAAATTTATGAATGCTTACAATGTTCAAGGCACTGTGCTAAGGTGTTTACATGTATTGCCTCGTTTAATTCTCCCAGCAGATTATGAAGTCAAAATTATAATTAACCCCATTTTTTAGATGAGAACACCGAAACACAGAGAAATTAGATAACTAATTTAGGGAGCCAGAGTTTAAAAGCAACAGAGCTGAGTTCAACAAAGAAAGTGGGACTGAACACTAAAGAGCAAAGGGACACTTGGATGGTTGCAAAGTAGTCCCACAGAATGTGCCTGATACCTGACCGAGGTTCAATGGCGACACAAGAGAGAAAGGATGGCCAACTCAACAAGGGTGAGAGGGCAGCTGGGTGTGCACAGGCAAAATGTTGAACCTGGCCTAAATCAAAATGGATCAAACAGAACATGGACTTAAATGTAAAAGTTAAAATTTTAAAATCTTTAGAAAAAAATATATAGGAGGAAAATACCGAGTATCTATGGCCAGTAAAAGATTCTTAGAAAAAAAAAATTCTTAGATATTATACCAAGAACATAATCCATAAAAAATAATGAGAAATTAGACTTACCAAAAATTTTAAATTTGCTTTGTGAAAGACTACAAAGAGAAAAAGTATTGGTAAACTTCATGTTTGACAAAGGACTGATATTGAAAATATGTAAGAACTCTCAAAACTGAACAGTTAAAAAAATAATGTCAAGGGCTGTGGTTGTAGCTCAGTGATAGAGCACTTTCCTAGCACATGTGAGGCACTGGGTTAGATCCTTGGCACCACATAAAAATAAAGAAAGAAAATAAAGGTATTGGATCCATCTACAAGTAAAAATATTCTTTTTAAATGACAAAACAATTCAATTAGAATTTGGGCAAAGAATCAAACAAACATTTCATTGAAAATAATTTACAAAATGGCAAACAGACCAACATCATTAGACATCAGAGAAGTACAAATCAAAGCTGCAATGAGATATCATCACACACTTTTCAGAACAGCTAAAATGAAAAATAGCAACAACATCAAGTGCAGGTGATTATGCAGACACTAGGTCATTCATATCTTGCTGGTAGAAATGCAAAGCAGCCCTTCCACTTTGGAAAACAGTTTGGAGGTTTCTTATAAAACTGAACATGGGCCAGGCACCGTGGGGCACACCTGTAATCCCAGTGGCTTGGAAGGCTGAGACAGGAGGATCATGAGTTCAAAGCCAGCCTCAGCAACTTAGCAAGGCTCTAAGCAACTCAGCGAGCCCTGTCTCTAAATAAAATATAAAAGGGCTAGGGATGTGTCTCAGTGGTTGAATATCCCTGAGTTTAATTCTTGGTACCAAAAACAAATAAAACATTACCACCACCACCAACAACAACAACAAAAACTAAACATGGAAAAATAAAAGACCCAGCAACCGGACTCTTGGGCATTTGTCTCAAAGAAATGAAAAGCTCTGTTTTATATAAAATCTGTACATGAATTTCCATAGCAGTTTTATTTAGAATAGCCCATGACATGAGATGCTCAGGTCCCAGTGCCAACCTGTACATGGGTATATTCAAGATTCCCTTTATCAAATGAATAATACCTGGAAACTACTCATATATAAAAAATACGACAACATGGAAGAATTTTGAGAAGATGATGATAAATGAAAAGCAAATTTCCAAACTTACATATACTACRTAATTCCATTTACATAAAATTCTTAGAAGAACAAAATTACAGAAATGGGAACAGATTATTGGCTGCCAGGGACTACAGAAGGAGGCAGGTGGGTATGGCTATAAAAGGGAAAGAAGAGGGATCTTTGTAGTGATGGAGATGCTCTATATTTTGAAAGAATCAATGCCAATAACCTGGCTGTAAAATTATTCAACGATTCTATAAGATTAAGGGAACTGTGTACAAGGTGCATGGTAGYACAGTGTTATGTATTATAACTGCATAGGGATCTTTATCTCAAAATGAAAGTTTAATTTTAAAAAAATGTGAATTTATAAGAAAAGAGAAGATTTATAAGAAAAGGAAARCAAAAAGGATAGAGATCCTTACGAGAGAAATATCTGCACACACATAATTGGACTTCCAAGAAAACCAAATTAGAATTCTCCCACTTTCTGTCAGCCTTGCAGCTTCCCCCCCCCCTCCTCAGTCCCTTGGGAAATGGAGGGAGGCAAGTGATGTTCTGTACTTTCCAAACTTTCCAAGCCACCTGTGCTCAAAGGCAAGTTTTAGGGGCTCAGAAGGAAAAGAGAACCTCAACAAAGCACTTCACTCATCAACCACACTGTACCCCACACACACTTGCACCCCCCTGAAGGACACATCTTAGAAGTCCTGACTCATCACCTAAATCAAATGCAATGATATTTTCCATATATATATATATATATATATATATATATATATATATAAAATTTCTGCACACAACTCAGAATTTTTTTCAGAGCTTATTATACATCTGACACAGATTAAACACTTCAGTGTTATCTCAAATCCTTTCCAGGACATACAGTCAAATGTTGCTGTCCCTATTTTATGTGACCAAGCATCTATAGAACACCAAAAACTCAAACAGCAACCTCAGCAAGGAGCATCAAGTGTGTGTTTCATGAAAATAGTACTTACAGAAGTAACAGAGAAATCATACAGAATATACGTCTTATTAGTTACAGCATCTGAAAGAGAAAGACAGATGCAGGTCCATCACCATGGGAAGCAGAGGAGTCTAGCTTTTCTCTTTACCTGAAATACCTTTGCATCTAATCTGCACATTTTTGTCAACCGTCACAGAAGTTTCTTGGAGCACTTTCTATGAATTCTTATTACTCTTTGTGGTACTGTTTTGCTGGAATTAATACTGTTTGAATTGCATTGTAGTTATCCACTTGCTTAGTACCTATCCTGCTAGACTACGGCTTTCCCAAGGTACATTTTATATCACATTCTTGTGCATAGGTCTTGTTTATTATGTATTAATAAATAGCAAATAAATATTAACAGTTCTGACTTCATTCAGGGTGGAATTTTTATATAATCCCAGGCTAAAAACTTGTGAGGCATTCATATGAAAAGCTTAAAATGTAAAAGCACACTAYACAAACGAGATTCATCTGCCTCAAGAGTAACTGAACCTGTACTTTACAAAGATGTAAGCAAAATGTATTGCTTTGTATAAATAATGATATCCAGAGAAGAGAACAAATAAACTAAACAAACTGATGTCTGTGGCTTTGGAAGGGTCCATAACACAGAAGCTGGACATTTTGAAGTCATTTATGTACTGTGGGTGGCTAACGGAAATTATCAGTTGAGTTCTCACTCAATAATTATAAGCTACAGAAATAAACAGCATGCTAAGAGTGCCTTACTGGGCAGCCTTCAGTGATTCGCTCCCACTGAGGGCCACAGAGATGGCCCCAGGAGGAAGTCTACCTTTAGTCACACCGTCATCCCAGTACAGCTCTCCCTTGGCTTCTCTCTTATAGTCCAAGGCGACGATGAGTCCCAGGGAATTCTTCCGGCTGAGAAGAGTAGTTCCCAGTTTCAGAGAATGAAGAAGAGAGGGATCCATGTGAAACCAGACCCCTTGATGTCCCAAGGACAGATCCTCCCAKAGTCCATCCCAGAAACTTAGTAGATCCTAACATTGTGTGCAAACATGGAAATTGAGTGTAAGCAGACAGCAGAAGTTAATAGAGTGATCTTAAGATTGACTGGTGGRGGGACGCAGTGCCTGCTGGAAGTTGGTTTGCAATCACCCTAACAGTGAATATGTATTGGGTGCTTACCATGTGACAGGCACTMTTGTAAATATCCTACACGCATTGTCATCTGTATCAATCCATTTAACAATCACAGCCATGCTAAAAAGTCAGACTATCATCATCCCCAGTTTACCAAGGAAAAGCATAAATTCAGAAAAGTGAGGTGCCCGGGGTATATATATTGCAGAGCCAGGACTTGAACTCAAACTGTCTGTCTCCAGAATCTGAGCTCCTGAACTCGAAGCTATGTTGAAGTCGCACGATCACCCTTTATCTCCTTCTGAATTTGTGTTCTCCCACACAATAGGGGATTTACCTGAGGATAATTTCTGGCCACAGGGAAATCCTCATGGGTTATTATTTTGCTTATCCCTATAATTTAATTTAATACAAGTGTAAAGAACTATAGAAATGTAAAGGAACTGAGGCTACATTTGCTCCTGCCCAATGAGGACTCAGAGGACAATTTGGAGCCAACTTTGAAAGGAGGAGAGGAAGACTGCTTCCTGRCACTATGTCCTTGGCCACCTGCTCTCGGCCTCTACTGTCTCCCTCATAATGCCATGTTCCACTAGGGCACCAAAGTAGTCACGTCCTAGAAGACACAAGAGCTTACTTACCTGGTTTCTGTGGTTGTGTTCGGCTGCTGGATGGGAAATATGTAGCCTCCTCGAAGGTGAAGCCCGATCCTGTCCCCTGGAAGTAGCATATCCACAAATTGCTTTCTCCACTGGATGGCATCTCCCTAATCCACAAAAGGAAACAGAACGTGAGGACTACGAAGAACCTTGGAGATCATCCAGTTCATTGCCTCATTTTAAAGAAGACAAAAATGGAGACTTCCAAAATGAAGCGACTTTCTTGAGGTATATAGCGGGTAGAGAGCAGAGTTGAGACTCCAATCCACACCCTTCCTTTACGGMGTACCATACTGTACAACGCAGTTGGAATCAGGATGTTCCCAAAGGTCCACTTGTTAAAGGTTTGGTTCCAGCGTGGAGCTATTAGTAGGTGGTAGAAACTTTTAGTAGGTGGGGGCTGCCTTGTGAGAGGTTTTAGGGCATTGCTGGTGTATACTTAAAGGTCTCTACCTCTTCTTTTTCTCTCTTTCACTTTATGGCCAAGAGTTGAGAGGTTTTGCTTCACCATAAGTTCTTGCTGTGATGTGCCATCACAGGCCCAAAGCATAAGGCCAATTAATCATAGACTAGAACCTCTGAAACTACAGCTGAAATAAACCTTTTCTCTTTATAAGGTGATCATTTGGTGTACTTGTTATAGTAACAGAAAACTGACTAACACACCGTGATTCCCCCAACTGAGCTTGAGTTCTTTATATTATCACAGATAAAGGCCAATAACTGCACAGGTCCAAGAATGAAAGAGTAAATTTCCAAAAAACCTACTCCAGCTATTCAAATTATTTCACTGTACATTTTTAAAAGTCTTCTACTATAATCTTAGTGTCCCAATGTCCTCCTAAAACTCATATTTTGTAACCTAATACCCTATTGTGGTGATATTAAAAGGTGGAACATTTGGGTGAGTGCTTCAGTCAAGAGGGCTCAGTGAGAAGTGCCATCAGTGAAGAAGAGTGAGCCCTCACCAGACACTGCCTCTCTTATTGCCTCCCTCTTGGACTTTCCAGCCTCTAGAACTTGGGTGATAGATTTTGGTTGTTTACAAATTCCCCAGTGTAAGGTATTTTGTTATACCATCCTGAATGTACCCACAATCAATTAAATGTAAAACCTCATATGATTATCCTACCCCGAGCCCTCAAGACTGCTGGCATACAATTGCTCTCTGCCAGAGGCATATTTCTGAGACAATTGGAATCACTGCACTTACTGTCTCATAGTCATACCAGGTGGCATCTGGAATGTATGCTCTTACTTGGTCTGCACCCTAGGGAAATGAAAAGGAAAAGCAAGGGTAGCATCCCACTTTACAGTTTACCCAACACCTCCACATCACTGCATGTCATCATTTGAACAACCCTGGGAGACAGCGGGGATCATCCATTCCACTAATAAAAACTACAGAAATCCCGAGAGGTTGGCAGTTTGTTCAAAGCAGAGTTGTATCTAGAAATTAAGTCTGTGATGCTTGTGCATTTTCTAGGAAAAGCATACAAAGTTCATACACTGAGTCATGCTGGGTGGAGATGAGCCAGCCAGACCCCCAAGACAAAAACCCAGCTCCTGTGTTTATAAGCAGGTGTACTCAATTCTGATCCTTCCCCCACCTTCCCCACTCAGCCCTGCCCCAAGTCTCACTTCAGGAAAATGCATGTGGTCCTCCATGCAGGGACCTCAGAGTAACACTCCCACCTTTGACCATCCCTCTGTTTTCCCTCCCTGCTCTTCAACATGTCCAAACTTTCTTCTCAGCCCAACCCCAAAGCACACCCTTCTGGTTATCGGGAAACACACATGTCAGCACACACACACACCAAGGTATTTAAAACCCACGTCAATGCCATCCTGAATGCCTAATGACATAGGTTGTGAGGCAATTTTTCAAGATGAAAATTGTTTTCCTAGGTGGGTCAATGAACCAAGAATACTCTTTTCCTATTTCTAAACCTTTATGGACTGTCTTATTTATATACATAGTCAGATTTAAATACAATCATAGATGCTCAGGACCTGGTTCATTCAGCTGGAATGCAACAAGGACAAGTGTAATATCCCACCCTGTCGTTCAGGTTACAAACATACTTCATACAGGACAGGTGTGATGAGGAGTCCAGGCCCCCACAAAAACTGCTCATGCACTTCCCACGTGGCTGGGTCCTGGTAGAATCTAGAAAAGAGAGACTCGGTGAAGCATGTGCAATTCCCAGCACAAGACAAGAGCACATGATGTGTCCTAAATCACCTTGTTCCCATTAGCAAGACAAATGAAACGGCTATCTGAAGGAGGTTCTCTGAGGGTTAGGAAACTCACTCGTGTAACAGGGGCCTTGCTACTGTCTGCCCCTGGGTGTGAGCACGGTAGAAGAGGGTGTAGAGATAGGGCAGCAGAGTGTATCGGATGTTCAGATAATGTCTGGAGGAATTCAGCAGCAGGGACTCAGAACCAAAGGCAGCAGGATCCTGGTCCTAGAAGAAAATGGAAGCAATGACTGAGTTGTTTTTTCCATCACCATTTAAAAGTCCCCTCGTGACAGGTTTTCCCAGGTGACAGGAGCAATGTTCCCCAACTTGGAGGACATCAAAGAACTTCCATAACTGAAAGATTCTTGACCCCACTCGTTCGTTGTGCAGCTAAGGAAGCACCATCAAAGGTCACACGACTTCCTCAATGTGGAATTGCAAGCAGGTGGCAGAACTTTCATTTGGCACTTGTCTTCTGAGGGCAGATGAGAGCAGCCCAGGTGGCCAAGAACCCACAGAGTTGCAATGGACATAAAGGGGCCACAGTGGGCCCTGCTCCCCCCCAAACTGCTCTTATTTATTGAGGGATTTTATAATATTTATTTGGAAGATAATAATAAAAAATTGKACTGAACTGAGTTGCACTACTAAAATAATTTTAAATCCATTTCCCTAGCCATATTGCTTACCACCATGATCTATAATTCATTTTTTCTTTTCATGTATTTTAACAAATTTTCCAATTTAAAATATGGTATCGTTTCATCTGTCATATTTTCGCCATCACCACTTATTTTATTTTCTCTAGCCTGAAGATAATGACCTCTATTTGTTCTTAGATGTATAAGGTGTGAAGAAACCACAAGGCCAGGTTTTAGCAGATTTTTTCCAAGAGCAAGAAAGGAACCCATTAGAAGAGAAATCTTCTCTTCTTACCMTCCAGAGACAGAAATTTTCCATCAATGGTTGGCACTCAATTTGTAATAATTTCTTTAAAATTTGGAAGATGTAAAAGTTTTGCATGTCATATTTAGACCTGTCATCTGGTAACATACGACTGGTAAAGCCAGAATTAGAAGGCAGATAGCCAAGGGAATGGAGGGATGGAAATGTTAATTCCTTCCTAGCTCTTCCTCCATCCTTGTCAAGAAAGGTGCCCCTGCTCCAGCCTGTTGCTAAGGTAACCAGTCCCAGGAATTGTCCCTCTCTACAGGGAGTTATAAAAATTGCTAAATTAATTTGCCCTGGACACCCCTCCTGCCTGGATCACTCCTCCCAGTTTCTCCCCTTTTGGCCATCCCACTGAGCATTTCCTGGGCCTAGTCACATACACAGAAAGGAGAAAGATAAAGGAAAGAGAGCAGGAGAACAAAGGAAGCCTAGGACATATAAAAAGGCAAAACACTTTCACTTCTCAGGATACCAGGGTATGAGCTATGGCCCCCTCCTCCCTCCTGGGAGAAGTCTATGTTACCCCTTTATAAATAAACACCCTGCTTTATATGCTTGCCTCGGCGTGCTTCTCTAATGTTATACTTACACATGTGGGGAAGCAGGACTCCTCACCAGTAACCAGTGGTATCACTGGGAGTAAATTTTGGAGGAAATTACCTGAATTTACTGCTTTCCTTTGTTCATGCTCTGCAAATAGAACTATTCTATGTATTCAGTATGGGGCTCATAAGAACCCTGAGGCCAAACACAAACAAAAAACCAGTACTCCACAGCCTCCATCTCCTTGGTTTCCAACTGAGAAAAYCTAGAACTGTGCTGTTCACTGTGGTAGCCATGAACCACATGTCTACTGGACACTTGAAATGTAGTCAATAAGACTGAGAAACTGAACTTTTAATTTTATTTGTTATGGCCGATTTAAATATAAATGTAAACACTGAATCAATGTAACATAGTTTTCCATTAAACAAAGCTTCATTTTTTTGATAGAATTGTTTTACTTCAACTGCTAAAAATTTAACTAATGCAAATTAAGATGTATATAATTGTAAAAATATACACTGAATTTTGAAGGCTTGATAAAAAGGGATATAAAATAGCTCATTAATAATAGCTTATGTATATGGATTTCCAGTTTTCCCAGCCCCATTTGTTGAAGAGACTATCTTTTCAAACCCTATCTCTCACCATGCACAAAAAAAAAAATCAAAGTGGATCAAAGACCTAGGAATTGAATCAGAGACCCTGCGTCTATTAGAAGAAAAAGTAGTCCCAAGCCTCCATCATGTCAGATTAGGCCCCAACTTCCTTAATAAGACTCCTATAGTGCAAGAATTAATATCAAAAATCAATAAATGAGATAAATTCAAATTAAAAAGCTTCTTCTCATCAAAAGAAACAGTAAGTGAGGTGAATAGAGAGCCTACAATTTGGGAACAAATTTTTACCACATGCACATCAGATAGAGCACTAATCTCTAGGATATATAAAGCACTCAAAAACCTTAACTCCAAACAACAAATAACCCAATCAATAAATGGGCCAAGGACCTGAACAGACACTTCTCAGAATATGATATATAATCAATCAACAATTATATGAAAAAATGTTCAAATCTTTAGCAATTAGAGAAATGCAAATGAAAACTACCCTAAGATTTCATGTCACTCCAGTCAGAATGGCAGAATAAAAACAATAATAAGTGTGGCGAGGATGTGGAAGGGAGGAATACTCATTCATTGCTGGTGGGACTACAGATTGGTACAGCCAATATGGAAAGCAGTATGGAAAATTCTTGGAAAACTGGGAGTGGAACCACCATTTGACCCAGGTATCCCACTCCTCGGTCCATATCCAAAGGACTTAAAAACAACATACTACAGGGACACAGCCACATCAATGTTTATAGCAGCACAATTAACAATAGCTACACTGTGGAACCAAGGAACCAACCTAGGTACCCTTCAGTAGATGAATGGATAAAGAAAATGTGGTATATATACACAATGGAATATTATTCAGTATTAAAAAAGAATAAAACCATGGCATTTGCAGGTGAATGGATGGAGCTGGAGAATATAATGCTAAGTGAATTAGCCAGTCCCCAAAAAACAAATGCTGAATGCTTTCTCTGATTTCAGGATGCTAATTCATAATGTGGTTGGGGGGTCATGAGAGGATTAGATAAATTCTAGATAGGGTAAAAGAGAGGGAGGGGAAGAGAGCAAGCAAAGGGGGTAGGAAAGACGGTGAAATGAGCTAGACATCATTACCATAAATACATGTATGAAGACACAAATGGTGTGACTCTACTTTGTGGTCAACCAGAGATATAAAAAAAATATGCTCTATATGTGTAATACGAACTGCAATAATCTGCTGTCATATATAACAAATTAACATTAAGAATAATAGCTTATGTAAAACAGGTTGATAATGTTTTGTATATTACATTACATAAAAATACATTTAAGATATTCCCTGTTTCTTTTTACTTTCTATATTTAATGTTAGACTGGCACTCAGCTCTTATTATAATCCTATTGAAAAGAGGTAGCATATGAGAAAGCAAGCTAACATTCTAATCTAGCCACCTTGGTGAGCTGAGTGTTCTTATCTAAGTCATTTCAGTCCATCTCTTTGTGAAGAGCATCTGCCTTCTGTGCCCCCAGCCACCTTCTTGAACATTCAGAAATGATTCATCTCTCTGAAGACCACAAGCAGCTAGGAAATCCAGGGATAAAATGTGTGGAAGGGTTGACAGTTGTTAGAGTTTAGATATGAGGTTCCCCCTGAAAGCTCACATGTCAGACACTGCAAGGAAGTGACAAGTAAAATGATTGGGTTATGAGAGCCTTAACCTAATCAGTGCATTAATCCAGCTAAGTGGATTAACTGAGGGCCAACAGTAGTAGGCGGTTAGGTGTGGCCAGAGGAGCAGGTCGTTGGGGGCATGCTGGGGAATATATTGGTCTTTTTGAGGGGAGTGCTCCCCGTTTCCTTGTTGCCACGTCCTGAGCTGCTCTGCTCTTCCACACCTTTCCTCCATGAAGCCTCACCTTAGGCCTAGAGCAATGGAGTCGGCTATTTATGGACTGAAACCTCTGAAACTATGAGCCCAAATGAGTTTTTCCTCCTCTAATTGTTCTTGTCAGGTCTTTTGGTCACAGTGATGAAAAAGTTGACTGAAACAATGGTTAGTTCCTCCAGGTTAGAGACTGTCACTGTACAAAGTCAGGAGATGGAGATAAAATGATTGCGAGGACATGACTGTAATGAGACTACTAAATGTGAACCCACTCAACTTGAAATATTTCAGTTGCAGATTATCTCCTTACAACAAAGGACAACCCACCTTGCTTATTTCTGCWGTGATTATAAACATCTCCTTAAGAGGGACTCTGAAGCCACTTCTATATACTTGCCCATCAATAATATCATTTTGTAATCCCACTCATGAGGCTGAAGGAAGATGGCAAGTCCATTTCTAGCCTTGGCAACTTATCAAGACCCTGTCTCAAGAATAAAAACTAGGGCTGGGGTTGGGGCTCAGTGGCAGATCACTTATCTCACAAGTATRAGGCACTGGGTTCGATCCTCGGCACCACATAAAATAAATAGATAAAATAAAGGTATTGTGTCCATCTACAACTAAAAAAAAAACTAAAAAGAAAAGAATAAAACTAAAAAGGGCTGGGGAGACAGCTCAGTGGTAAAGCATCCCTGGGTTCAATCCAAGAATCACCCACACTTAAAAGATGGAAAAGGATAGAGGTTGCATGAATCATGGGAAGTAGTAGAGAGGTGGTCTTCCAAATTATTCATAAAAACATACAAAGTGAAAAAGTATTTCAGATCACTGGTCTGCCTGTCCCTAAATCCTTCTCCTTTGCTCTATCATATCTATGAGTGGTTTCCATTTTATTAAACAAAGTCAGATTCTAATGAACTCCAATTGTCTCCGCTCCTATAAGGGGACAACAAAGGTGACAGAAGCACTRTAGAAGCTTTAACCAATTTTCTCACCTTTGTGGGTGAATTTCCAACAATAAAATCATTTAATATATATGCATGCCCTTTCCCACCCACTCTTACCCTGATACCCTGTGTTTCAGGTGTATCTTGTAAGATTTACCTATCCTTTTTCTGTAGTGAGAAACTATAGGCTATAGKTTAACTATAGGCTCTCCCTCAACCCCTCTTTGAAAACAAACAAATGAGACAATAACTTCTCGTCCACTTCTCCCGGAGACCTTACCCTGAACCCAGGCCCATTGTGGTTCCTTGATAGTGGATAAAATGCTCCAAGTTGCATCCACCTTCTGCAGAGCTCCTCTGTGACATTTTCTTTATAACCACAGATGTTGGCACCTACCTGGAAAATCAGCACACAGACCAAAATGTTAGTCACTGAGAGAGGTAAAAGCATTGACTTTGTACTTCTATGATAAAGGAAAAAGGAAATATCACATTGGCATTAGAGATCCCATAGTCCCAGGGCAAGACCACAGGCAAATGAGAGAAACAAAGTGTGTATTACAGGATAGACTGAGCAGACTGGCTGGTGACATTGATCATGGTCCCTATATAGAGGACTCTTCCTCAACATTCAGTTCCCAGTTTCATACTTCCCTATTCACTGATGCTCTCCTGGTTTTTCTGTGATACTAATGCAGTTCACTCATGGTATCTCTTTCCCATCTCCAGAGATTCCATGGGTGACAACACAATGATCAATTTTAACGTCCTATCTTCAGAAGACAGCTTACACCACCCATAGAAATTTATTTTTTCCAATACATATCTCAAGAGACATGTGCTCCTTAGTTTTTCGAAGACCCTCAAAGACTGATAATGGAAGGAGTGTCCAAGGACAAAGGGTTGAAGTTCCTTGGCTAGGAATGAGGCTCACCATGGGGATGCCAAACAGGTTGAACTCAAGGACACCAGGGATGGACCATCGGAGATCATCCCATGTAGCCGCATTGTCCCCCAGCCAATGAGCAGCAAATTTACCAGATCCCGCGAAAGTAGAACGGGATAAGATGAAGCTCCTCTTATTGGAGAAGATAGTCTCCATGGCCCTGAAAAAGAATGCATTCAGTTGAGTGTGAGGTGAGTTGTGGGCATTTAGAACCCACCTTGCCTCGTGGGAAGCAACAGGCTTTCCAACCAAACTGAAATAAAACCCCAGGATATCAAAAACTAGGCGTGTAAGCAGACCAGCCTTTTAAAGGGCTCCTTTCCCACTTCTTTTTTTGTACTGGCGATTGAACTCAGAGCACTCGACCACTGAGCTGCACCCCCAACCCTATTTCTTATTTAGAGACAGGATCTCACTGAGTTGCTTAGCACCTTGCTCTTGCCGAGGTGAACTTTGAACTCATGATCCTCCTGCCTTAGGCTCCCAAGCCACTGGGATTACAGGTGTGTACCACTGGACCCAGCTCCTTTCCCACTTCTGAGAAAGATTTTACATCTCATATAAGACTGTGAAAACCTCTGTCTTGTAACCCCAAAAGAATTTCTCCAGGCTCCTGTCCTCCTGACTATGCTTTCTCCATCTTGTTGGATCGGGCTTTGATCCAAACCCTTTGATTGACAATATATTGTAACTGTGTGTTGGGTTGTTGGACCCATCCTGTGTCTCCAGACAGTTTTTCTAACATCCCTGGATTCCATGCCTTGCTGCCCACGCACAATCTTGTGTAGCACAATGACAGTTCAGGTTGGAACTCTGTCTTCACTTCCTCTTGGCATAGACTTGCAGACACTTCACCCTTTTTACCCCTGGCTGGAGGTTTATTGCACTCTGCAATTATTGATCATGGAAGAAACACATTCAACCCACTCAGATTGAAACTGAAACAGAGATGGACGTGGCTCAGGTTATGGTTAGAGGCAGGCCATTATGGTAACCCAGATTAGATAGCAGTCAGGTTCTTCCCGGCCAAGAAAAAGCCTCTTCGGGATCCTTAAGTTTCTCTTTCCCCTCCTCCAGGTATGGCCTTTTACAATCAGGTCATATCTCTGGGAAGATCTGATGTTTTAGCCTAGAGGAATGTGAATTTCACTCCCTGGTAGCCCAGTAACCACTGTCCCCAAACTATCCTCCCAGTTAAGTTTGCATGAAATCTACATCAGACCTATGACTTCTCATGATGTACAGATCCCATTGAATAAAAATCTTGCCTCTTTTTAAATGTAACTCTGCCTCATGTTCAAAGGCCAAGTCCTATATGTATCTGCACTGTTCTCARGGAATATAGGTGATCCTGCCCAACCCAGGGAAATTAGAAAAGTCCCCTCTACTTTATCAGTCACAGTTACATTTTAACTATTAGTCATAATTATTCAATTTATTAATCCACACATTCAAGATTTTATAGCACCTTTATCACATGAAGACACAGGCAATAAAGCAATTTGAAGCTTTCCTGACTCTTTCTGACCATTTAGTCACTTGCCTTCCCACCTCCCGTGTTCTTAAACAGAAGCATCTAAGAGTTGGAATATATCAGAACAGGGAGGGACTATTGGGAATATCGATTCAAATCTTTCATTTTAGAGATGAGAAAATTGAGTCTTACTCACTAGTTTATGTTCCAAGGGAGGTGGTATGAGAAAGAGAAAAGTAAGAAAGAGAACATAACAAAATCAGAAATAGGTATCCTTCTTTTTGGAACTTTGCTTTCACTGAGAATCAAATTTGTGCATTTACTGGTCAAGGACTCTCTCACCTGGACAATCCAGGGTACTGCAAAATTCTGAAGACAGCATGGTGTTAGGAAACGGCAGACCCAGTCTCACCTCTAATTCATCAGGTTGCCTGTGTGCGCACCCTGCTCTTCCTTTTCTCATATCTGTTCCACCAACATATCCTCAAAGCTCACACTATTCACAAAACTAAAGATACAGAAGTTGGTTGCCCTCGAGGRATTTATCCAGCAGGAAAAAAGAAATGACATCTAAAAATTATGATATAATATTGTTGCATATTAACCATATTGCAATATGTGACAATGTAGTACAAAAGAGGAGAAACAGCATTTTCATAGAAATGTTGTACATCTGAGGTGAGATATTATAGATACGTATGTGTTCACAAAACGGACAGGACAAGGAAGGCCGTCTTGTGCTGTGCAAGCACCACATGGAAAAATGAATAGCATTCAGAGTTGGGAAAAACAAGCAGCAATATATTCCATAGCATAAAGTATGAGTGCAAAGAATGCAAAAAAAAAAATTAGATTAGGATGGACCGTACAGGTTGTACTAGGGATTGGATTTTATCAAACAAATGTCAGCAATTTTATATTGATAAAGAAACGAGAAAACTCAGCCTCTCAGAAAGATGACTYTGACAGCAGTGTAGAATAATACTTTCAAAACTTCAACACATATTCGATACACCCAGAGTTCTTGTAAAAATGAAGATTTGGGGGACTGGGGATGTGGCTCAAGCGGTAGCGCGCCCGCCTGGCATGCGTGCAGCCCGGGTTCGATCCTCAGCACCACATACCAACAAAGATGTTGTGTCCGCCGAGAACCTAAAAATAAATATCAAAAATTCTCTCTCTCTCTCTCTCTCTCTCTCTCTCTCTCTCTCTCTCTAAAAAAAAAAAAAAGAAAGAAAGAAAAGAAAAAAGAAAAAAAATGAAGATTTTGATTCCCAAGTTCTAGATCGAGGTCTGAGATGTGGCTCTTTCAGTACATCCCGGTTGATGCTGACATTGCTGGTCCTTGGATCACACTCTAGAGAGGGCAGAGAATAATTTACTAGAGATAAGGATTAAGTCACGGAGAGTGGTCATAGGTCAAGTGGAATTATCTACATGGCAGAGGATGATGACCTCAGTTAAGAAGTGGCTGTGGGATAAAACGGGACATGGTTATGGTAGTGTTTCAAAAGTAGAATAGAAAGATCAAGAGCTGACTTGATTTCTTATGAGGGCATTAGAAAAAGGATGATGCCAAGTTTCTCACTTGAGAGTCTGGAGATAAGGATGGTGTTGCTACCAATCAAGATAGGGAATTCAAGAGTTTCAAAAATGATTAGCCAGAGTGTGGAAGAAAGCCAGGTGAAGGGTGTGAGAAGTACTATAAGACATACGAGTAGAGAAGGTCAGAAGGTAGTTTTGGATATTTGTGTCTGAAAATCAAGGAGGAAACTCATAAAGAACTATAGATTATAAAGTAAAGCAAAAACCATTGAAAGGTATAAATTCCCTGTGCTAGCAGAGAATGGAAAGAGAAGTCTGAGGATTGATCTCTAAGACTCATTCCTGAAAGAGTAGACAGAAAATATCCAGATAAATGCAGACACGGATGTGAGAAGGAATAGCAGGAMAGAGAGAGATGCCAGCTAGAGTTGTGTCTCAAGAACTAACACAACAGGTTCAAAGGAGAAGTTGTGACTTCAAGTGTCACAGACACAAAAAAGTTGAGTGAGTAAATAAAGGCTGAGACATGCCCCATGAGCACATCAAAGTCCCCTCCCCTTTCTCCCCACAATAGCGTTGTAGAAATACCAGACCAGGAGACAACAAGAGGAAGACTGAGACTTTAGCTCTTCCCTGAGCCACTGGAAGATCTCCAACAGCCCTTTCAGCATTTTGGTTTCCCCATCTCTGCTGAAAATCTAAAATTAAAGTTTTTTTTAAGTTGAACCCCAAATTTCTTGCTGTCTGGGTATAATGATTATATTTCATCATCTTCAAAGGAGAAATTGGGTGGAGTAAAAGTGGYTATTTATCAGTTTGCAAAGTTATCCTTAATAAAGTTCATGTGGCAAAGTGGGTGAAGGATGGAATGCTTTACAGAACACACCTGTCTCCTTAACAGACTTTCATAATGGGTGGTGCTGATGGTGCTGATGTCGTGGTGCTGATGGTAGTGGTTGTGGTGGTGTAGACATTATGTGTGTGTGTCTGTTCAGATAAGTTCAGATAAGKCTGAACTTCACATAAACAATATTTTAGTATGCTCTGTAAAATCTTGTTACCCTGTATTTTTATTAGCTAAAATCAATCCCYGATCCATAAGGCAATCCAGATTAATCCGATACAGAAACCAAAGGTTTGTAGGAGAGAACTTCTTAARTACCCAGCTAGACCAGTTTCTATATGCTTATATTCAAAACAATATTTGAACAATATACTTATGGAACACAAGAGAAATCCTCCACCTCCCACTTCCCCAAATCTGGAATGAGGGAAAAAAATCTAGTACTTACGAATGGGTGGCTCTTGCCATGGAGTGGCCATACAAGCTGTGGACGTCATAGTGAAGGCCCCAGTAAAACTCTGTGTCCATGCAGAGAGTTCTTGCAAACAGTAAGTGGTCTAGAATGCCTGGGGGGAAACACCCATTAGTAAGGCAAGTCTCCATCAATCGACTTTAACAAAATAGTCACCGACGTTGTTTTTCTTCCTGATTGCTGTAACTTCCCCACCAATTTCCACCTGACAAAGTCCTGTGCAGATCTTAAATTCTATCCTAAATACCACTTTCTAATGGGAGCCTACACTGGCCATCCAGAGGTCATTAAAAATAATTTGCGTTCCCTTGAGCTCATAAAGGWTGGTGTTGAGTGGAGGTAGCTGGAAACCCTGCTCAGAGCAATATGCAGCTGATCTGAGATGAAACATACAGCACACACTGTTTATCTGCAGAGACTTAGTCAAGGAGAGTTGAGTGTAAATATACTGGTATGAGTGCCCCAGTCACATTWTAAAAACAAAAACCTAGATATGGCACTTGGGTGGTTTCATGACTAAAAGCCAAATCCTGGCTCTGAGAATCTCCATTGTTACTGTATTTTCCCTTTCCCAAGCCTAAAATGGTCAGCCTTTACTGTGTCATGGCCTGCAATCTCTATCTTCCCTTTCTTCTCCTTATGGACCCATACCTAGGACTATGTTTATCTTCCTTCATGAAGTCTTCATCACATATAGGGCCTTAGTATRAGGTACAACTTCAGAAAGTGATGGAACAAGGAATGACTGAGGTTAAGATTTTCCCACCAACCTGACACAAGATTTTGAGTCAGATATTAAACTGGGTTATAAAATATTTTAAAAATTTATATTTCTTGCCCAGCTTGGATTGTAAAATGAGATAAACAACCACTATAGTAATAAAAAAAAAGGAGACTAGAATTTTTCCAGGCTGAAACCTTGTTGCATCTGTATCTTTATCATGCCAATATGTGCTGCATAACCATGAAAAGGAACATGACGGATCATATTGTGAGTAGACAAAATGCCAAGGGGTAGGGAGTGGGGTGCTTGCCAGGACAAACAGAAGGTGATACTTTGAGGTTTTAAGTAAGGGAAAAACAATATCTATGGCCAAGAAGATTAAGAGGTTGGGGGAAAAAATTAAGAAGCTGATCCAGAGTGGGAAAAAAAGGAGTGTGTGTGTGGGGTGGGGGTGGGCAATACAGACCAAGCAGAAAAGAGTAAAGAATAATTTAGGGAAGCAAAGAATAGATTTCACAGTAGGTTAAATGGTTTGACATCAAGACTCTCCTCACCTCAAAATTCTTTACTCCTTCAGTGATCAAAGGGAACCAAGAAGGAGATCAGCCTATCAGCCTTGAGCTCACTTTTGTTAGTAGCTCAGGGGGTCCACCACTGTGACCAAACCTGATGAGAACAACTCAGAGGAGGAAAGACTTTCCCTGGCCCATGGTGTCATAGGTTACATCCATGGTCAGATGGTCCCACTCCTTTGGGCCTGAGGTGAGGCATAATATCACGGAAGTAGAGTATGGTGAGGGAAAGCTTGTCAGCTCATGGCAGCCAGGAAGTGGAGAGGGCAAGGGGGCTGGGGAAAAGATAAGCCCCTCCAGGCWTGTCCTCAGGGACCTACTTCTTCCAACTAGGTCCCACTTCCCACTAGTTCACGAAGTTATGGCTGGATGGATTGGTCCATTTGGTAGATTAAATGGGTTAATACACTGATGCCAGAGCCCACRTGACCCAATTATGACCTAGAAGCTCCACCTCTGAAACCTGTTGCACTGAGGACTCTGCACTCAACCTGTGATCTTTGGGGTCATTTTAGATCCAAACCATAACAGCAGGCATGTACGTAGGGTAGACAAAGCAAGATCAATTGGCAGAGGCTGTCCAGATGTCCACCCAGCCAATGTTTTCTTCCAGGAATGTGAGGAGATTGTACTTGAAGATTATACCTCCCCTTGAAGTTAAGCTGAGGCTGAGAGCAGATTCTAGAAAAGGAATTTGGGTAAATAGGGTAGACCCCATTTCCAGGCCCACCTATAATATTCCCTCCATCCTTTCTCCTCTTTGCCCTTGAACCTGGAAACAAAAGCCTCTGAGATAAGAAAAACAGACAATGGAGGAAACTAGATCTCTGAATCACCACTTGGATCCTCACTAGAGTACGATGTCAGTGAAGAACAAAATTTATTGATTAATGCATGTAGATAATGGGATTTCTTTGTTTTCACAGCATTCTGTATACTGCTCACCCCCACCTAAAACCCAGGTATGTGCACRCACACACACATTCTTTCAAAAGAATATCATGACCGAAGAGTGTGTTGAAGGAAATGAGTCCTATAACTAGAACCTTTAGGGAACCACTGATGTCTTAAGCTATTGCTAATGGTGTGGGGAGGGTGGAAAAAGGAAGGGAGAAAGAGATAAAGAAAGGAAGGGAGGAGGGAAGAAAAAAAAGAAAGGGGGGGATGTTAACAAAATTTCAGCTTTACTTCAGTGTAAGGCAGTTTGTGCTTGGAGAGTTCTAAACCTCTCACAAAGCCTGAAATAGTACCAGCTAATGGATGAAAGAATCTGGAACTCTGGGGTGGAAGGATGGCCAGGGGAGGGACCAGGCTCAGACAAMACTTTTCACCACCTATTACCCTTGGCTTGTGGCAGTGAAAAGGTAACTGGAGACAAAGCAATGCCACCAAGACACAAGTGGAAGAGTGGTTGGGAAGTCTGGGGATCCACTGGACCAGAGGGAATTTCTGTGACCACACAGAGTGTTAATGAGGCTATTTTAAACACATCTCATGTCTGCAGCTTTAGCAAACAGGCACACACTCACCAGGAGTGAAAGGTGGGAAGTTTAAGCTGTTTGATTCACACGTATGACCAGAATCTTGGAGAAAGCTAGTTACTTCATCCATTTCCTTCAAAGACACAAAACACACAAAATGGGCAATGTTATTGATTTATAATTAGCTATGAGGAGATGCAGAATGAGAAACAAGGATATCTGGGGTTCTCTATGATCTGGTTCTTGGATTTTGAATAATCTCCCCCAACTTTTCTTAGCCTCTGTTTTATCTTTCGTAAAATTAAGTCATTGGATTAGGTCTTCTCTCAGGACAGTCCAGTTCTAATRACATTGGCTGGATTTAGCTTTGTATTAGTTTATTTCAAACTATTGATTAAGAAATGTCATTTCAAAGGCTGTCCCTAGCCTTATAAATTGTGAAGATTTCACTATTGATGTTATGTTTTACTATGCTTAAAGAATAAAAATAGGCTAAGACTTCTGTGCTATAATTTTCCCTGTTTTTTTATTCCACTGTGCAAGGAATAATGAGAGAATATAATTGAGCTCAAATATATTTCTTTAAAATGAATTAAAAATAAGCAATGTCTAATATCACTATCATAACAGATGTTTTCAAGTTTCAAATAAATGTCCCCACTGTCCTTTAATAAAAAACACAGRACCTCATTATATTTTTTTTCTAGCGATTAAATTTTTATGGGCCAGTGCTACAATTCTTAGAAATCACAACCTTTAATAAAACAGTCTTTTTTAAGCTGAAAAGACAGTAAATGGAGGAAAACAACAAAGCCATGAGAAAACACTGTTTTTACCCCAATGAAGTAACCAGATAGTGGCTAATTCAGAATAAGAACAGAGTTCTGAGGAGTCTGATTCAATACGTATGTGGTCATCATCAAGTAAAAGAATCATGAACCCCAGTATGTCWAGCAAACTATTTTATTATAGATCAGGATAGAAATTCATATGAAAATTTGGTATGTCACTTTCCAAAGGAAGTTTGGGTATAAAACAATAACTTACAATCCACACTCCATCAAAGTTTAGACTTTTGTTGTGAAATTCAGTGACCTGTTGYGTCCACCACTGGGTACACACTGGATTGCTGAAGTCAGGAAAGACAGTTGGACCAGGGTATCCCTAGAGATCAAAGAGGGAGAATGGTCAATTTATGTGCTGTTCAGTGATTCATTGCTTATTGGCTACTATGTATTTTACTAGAAAACCCACATTGCCTTACTTTTAGAATTAAAATTTGTTATTTCTCCCAATGCCCATTAAACCAAAAAATGCATACAAGTTGCCAGAGGAAGAAAAAAGGAAAGGAAAAATGACCAATAAAATGAAAATCCATCATATGACTTTAAAAAAAAAAAAACAAAGTAAAATTTCATTATGTCAGGCCAACTGGGAGATAAACCAATAAAAGTACTGTAGGATATTTTTAAAGAGGATAATTGAATATATTTAATGTATTATTAATTAAAGGTTATATTAAACCCTTTGTATAATTTGGTTATAAATAATATTCTAATTTTGCATAGAAACAATATTTTATAAACAGTTGAGTAAAGTTTATGCCTCTTATTCCTGCCAAATATTCCTAATCCTATCTCTGTTTTAGCTACATCTATTTGACAGCAGCTTTAAGTGTCTTCCATGGAAGGCACAAAAATATAACCATAGCCAAATTACTGAACATTCTGATTTAATAGGTTCCAAACGTTTTTGCAACATTCTTGCTGATTTTTCCACTACATTTATTTGTTGGCAATTAGGAACAATTTAAACTCATGCAGCATAATGAATATATGTATAAAAGTGTAAAGAATTCTTCAAACACAAGGTAGGCAATGGAAATCCCCGCTTTCAGTGGATTGAGCTCTTGGACTTTTGTTGCAGGGGATGGAAAACAAGTAATAATTTCAGATAATTTTGGACTCCAGGAAGCAAGTGGTTTGGCAGAGCAACAACCAACAGAAGCCTTGAGTGGAGATCAGCCAAGTGAGCTCCATTCTAAACAAGAGCATGGGTAGCCACCTCTACCCACTTCTACCTCCACTGCCTCAGCCAACTCATGTAATTTACCAGTCAATGAAAAGAATCTAGTGAGCAGAGTGAAGAAGGGGCCATCAATAACTCTTGAGAAGACAGTTTTGCAAAGTCAACTACTCAGAAAAAGCAGGAACTGCCTTCACATGAACTTTCCAGAGTTCTAACTTTAATAACTCTCAGATAATCCAATCACCTGGGGTTGACAACCACATAACTGGATAAAAGTCACATCATGATTTGACTTCAAGTACATTCTCTCAGAAAGTCAGCTGTCTTTAAAATAGACTCCTGAGGAGTCATTCTATTTCAATTCCTGCAACTACTACCTTAGAATAAAGCCTGGGCTTTATCTAGAAGCTTGGTATAAATTAATATACTACCTGAGATAGGTTCCACATTAACCTGTAAGCACAATGATCTATTGTTGTAGTTGAATTTATTATTTTGGGAAAGAGGTAGAAATTGGAGGCAGGAAGACTTCAAGTAACTGAATTGTTTTTTCTAATGATACATTGCTTCTTAATTATCAGTGATATTCATGCATCAGCTAGCATTTTATGTCTTTCAGAATTTTAATCATTTTATTAGTACATGTATTAGTTTAAAAATAGTGATGAAGGAAACCTTTAAAGCCATTAAAAAATAAGCAATAGTGTAGCTGGACTTTTACCCATTACCAAAAATACCAGTTCCCCAAAACTAACTATAATTTACTCTTTCATTAGAATTTACCTCCCCAACAGCAAAGTCATTGTTCTCCAAGATCCATACTCTCTTTAGTCTTCCATCTTTATATGTATTGTAGTTAGGATCTTTCAGGATACCAGGATTCTAATAAAGAAATAAGATACAAATATTATTTTTTATAAATTTCCTTTGCATTTTGAAAGAAAATACAAGGCAATAGGGTAAGTGTTTGACATACCATAATAATTATATATTTTTGGCCATTGTCATGTAACCTCTTGGCAAAACCTGAGAGATCAGGGTAAGCCGTTTCATCAATAGTGAAATCCTTCTTTCCATCCATGTAGTCTATATCAGAGTACTGGACATCCTGAAAGGTAACACTGGCCAATTAGAACTTAGGAAATGTCACCAAGCTGGTGGGAAGGAAATCAGCTCTAGTTTCCAATCATGGGAACCAAAGCTGAGGGAGACACAGAAAGGCTTTGGCAGCCAGGCAAAGATAGGGAGTGCAGAGGCCAGAACAAAGGAGCATGAGAGGGTCATCTGATGACATCAGCTTCCTAACTTGACAAAAGTACTCATGGACCCAAGTTGGGGGACCCATTCAGACACTTCTGCACTCATGCTCTTAAGCAGAGGATCCAATGGAAAAACTAAAACAGATGTGTAGACAGAGGGGGCACTAGTCAATAATAGTGAGGAGAGCATGGACAGGAAAGGAGATAGGGAAGGAGGAAATTCCAGAGACCATAAAAGAACAGTCCAAAATTCCCCCACCTGATTCCTGTCACTTTTGCAATAAACCTACTTCTTTCTTACTACCTCTGTGTTCTGTTCTTCAGTTCCCTGCTGAACAGAGACAATGAACCCAGTACCCCTAGATGTAACAAAGCCATATTTCTTAATAATCCTGGATCTTCCAGGGTTTGGCTAACTCCTAGAAGTGAATATGTCCTTCCAGAAAGAGGCAGCTGATTTTAGGTTCCAGCTTTATTTTCTCATCCTGATAAAGGCATGCCATAAGGCATTGGAAGGAGTTGAAAGTAGGAACTGCATTTTGTTCAGCTCTGTAACCCATGAGCTTGAATACTTGACATGTCACAGGTGCTCTTGAAATGTTTGTTAATGAATATATTAGGAATGTTATAACCGTGATGATGGATGATGCAGCATGCAAATTTCTGACAGTGGGTCTGCCTCTCTATCAACCATTTTTATATCATTTCCTAATAGGCTGAATTTCATGCAAAAAATTAAAGATGGGGTCAAATACATGATAAGAGATGTGCCAACTTACATACGGGATCCCAGCTTCACGAGTTCGGTCTACAACCTCTTTCAACCCATTGATGCCACCATAATCCCTGCGACTTAACTGGAACCCGAGATTCCAGTAGGAAGGCAAGAATGGTCGTCCAACAAGCTGGAAAGAGAAGTAAAGCAGTGTCTAAGCCTCACAATAAACATTTGGTAGTGCCAAGTTCAACAACGGATGCATTAGCTCCATTTCATTTTCTCTAAAGTCCTCAGATCCTAAAATGTCAGAGCAAAGAGTAATCTCCTAAGGCTAATCTGCAAAATTCCACAGCTCATATCTTTTTTCACTTAAGCATCTAAATGTATTCCCAATTATGGCAAATTCAAAAATGATAGGATTTTCTGAAAATCCTATCACTGAGATTAGTAATGCCATGGATAGGAAGCATCTTTCTCTCTTCCGTGGGAAAGAGTAGGTCTTAGGAAGTTGCTGTTATAGAAAAGACTTCTATGTTGAGATCACTGTCTAGCAGAAGCATGCTGAAGTCAACAATACTTCTATTGAATGTGGAACCTGAAAATTATTGACCTGCCTCACACTATTACCTGAAAGTCCCTGCCTTATAACATAGGTGGGCTTTCTCTCATACCTTTGAATTCCTGCACGATTTATTTGCACCTCATTCACAGAATATATTATAAGGTGCTCCTTATTAAAATTATTTCAGGCTGTATGTATCATATTCTCTTATTTAATTATAATTTCAGTGACATCTGGGAACCATATTTTCGTACCTTTACGAGCCATCCTGAGCAAATCACTTTATCTTTCCATGTCTGAGTTTTTCCATATGGAAAGTATCTACAGTTCCTTCCTATCCTATAATGTGAATCAAATATGAATAGCAAGCAAAGTTTCTTTTACATATGACTTTCCACTGAATTTTTATCTGTGGAATGCATGCACTTCACTGACTTGTATCCTTTGGTCTCTGGAGTGATTGATGGCTCAACCTGGATAGATGATGAGTGCCTTGAGTGCAGGATGCTGACTTATTTTTGCATTTTTCAAGCCTAGCATAGTGCCTTTTTAACATGCAGAAAACATCCAATAAGTGTCATCAAAATAAGAAAATAAGCAATAAAAGACCGCAACCCCAGTGTTTACAATCCATCCCATCTACTAATAACCCTTATTTTCCTCTTGATGATCTGAACCAGCATATGAGGCAATAGCAATAAACAACAACTCTGAATGCCAAGTCGTACCTCCAGGTATTCCTGAACCACTTGCTCTGGAGTGTTTCCCAGGAACACGTAGAAGTCAAGAATACCCCCAATGGTGCGGTAAGTGACTGCAGGAGCAGGCTGAAGGGCGACCTCTGAGATAATTAAAGTGAGAGTTATTAGAATTGAGTATATACTTTTCTTGGGGGTATGAATAGCTGAGCCATCCAAAATAATCTCAATAGAAATCACATATGTTCATTTTACTAGAGGATTGTTGAAATTTGTTAATCTATCAAGTTAATAAAATAGCAAGGAAGAATTAAGTTTTGTTTAAGAGAAGGAAAAACAAACTCTATTTTAATTTGGCCATATAAAAATACAAACTTCTGGGTTTTGTGAGTGGCTCTGCTTGAAAAAAATGTTTCGAAAATCTTATTGGGTAAGTTTGACTGTAATTAAAAATGTAAAACTAACCAAAATGCCTATTAATGCACCACTAATCCAGAAGCCAGAGGGGAAGATTATGGGTAAGTTAGGGGCAAGCTATGAGAAACCGCCCTTAAAATGCAACCTGTCACCTGCAGACAGACAGCATGGCACATGTTGAAATCTGCAAGCTTTCTCGGAATGTGTCTATCAATGGTTGTTGTTATCTACAGACTATTAAAAGGAAACATTCCATAAAGAAAATCCCTGAAGCAGTTTTCAATGAGAATGGCTTTTAAGGATGAGCTGGATTTGTAGGCAGATTAATATACTTTCAAGTCTCAGTTTCAATAGAAGTATCATTAAGATCAACATGTCTCTGTCAAACAGTGATCTCAACATATAGTCATTTTTTAAAAAGCAGCATCCCAAGACTTACTCCTACCCATAGAAGAGAGAAAGATGCCTCCTACCCATGGCATTACTGTTCATCAGAAAAACTCCAAAAGAGGAACCACTGGTGTCTTCAAGGCACAAGAAGAATGTATGTGCTCCATACAGGTTAATCATGCCCTGTCAGCAGGAAAGGGAGAGAGAAGTAATAGTATTATATGTTCAAAATGAGTACTCGCCCTACATTAAAACCAGAAGCCATGTGGACATGTGCTTGGTCAATTATTAATGCAGAGTGGTATTGTACGAAAAAGCTGTTGGAATGGCATCATTAACTAACAAATGGAGAAACAAAATATAGTATACCTGTACCATTTGTACCATTCACAGTGGTAGGATGAAACACTGACACATGCTGCAAAATAATACTCCTCAAAAATGCTATGCTTAGTAAAATAGACACAAAGGACCATATTGCACGATTTTGTTGATATGAAATGTCTAGAAAAATTTAAAAAATCAAATCTGTACACAGCAGGTTAGGGATGGCCTGGGACTAGTGTGGATGCCAGGATAGGAACAGGGCTTGACTCTAAAAGGACATGAAGGGTCCTGTAGGGGTCATGGAAATGTTCTAAAACTGGATCATGATGATTGTACAATTCAGTAAATGTGACAAAAATTACTAACTTGTCCTTTGAATAGGCAAACTTTATGGAATACAAATTAAACCTCAATCAAGATTCTTTTATATAAAATCTGCTATGATCTATACCAAATTTTAACAGGATGAAATGGTGTTATGAGCCATTATGCATTTCTTATTAATGCCCAACTGTTTTTTAATATTTCTAAAATAATATGTAATTCTGAGGTAGTAACAATTAAAAAAAATAAAAGAGACTGAGGTACTGAATCTTGACAGAAAGGGTGGTGATGAGAGCTGATATAAAAACAGATAATAATGTATAACTGTGCTATAAAAGGAATAATGTTGAGGTTATAATATGCATAAAGTTTTACAGACATTCTTTGTGTGATAATGTCACAAATCTTAGCCCCTAGTATGAGGCAATAGTACTAATAATGGTAAAAAGAAAAAGAAAGAAAACCAGTATGATTTGCTAAATAGAGAGGATCAATAGGACTATGAAGGCTGATAGCATCAACACATGGAGAGAATACAGATTACATTTTTTTTTTAAATTTTGAAGCAAGTAAAAAGTGATGAGAAGAAAGAAAAGGGGAAAAACAGAAGAAAAAAGAAAAGGAAAAAGAGAGATAGGGAAGGCTGGAAGGAGGGGGGAAAGCCAGAGGAGGGAAGAAAAGGAGAGAGAAATAGGAAGAGAGGGCGGCCACGAGGGAGGGAAGGAGGGGAAACGTGTGTAGGAAAGCACACATTTCATTTAATCTGTAACTAAATAATTTAAGAATTTCATCCGGGCACGGAGGTGCATGTCTGTAATCTCAGTGACTCGGGAAGATAAAGCAGGAGGATCACAAGCTTGAGGCTCAGCAATTCAGCAAGGCCCTAAGCAATTTCACAAACCTGTCTCAAAATAAAAAGTCCTGGGAATGTGGCTCAGTGGCTAAGCACCCCTGGGTTCAATCCCGTGTACAAAAAAAAAAAAAAAAAAAAAAATTGCAGCTATAGAAAGTCAAATTTGCCACAATGCTCAGGGTATCCGTGTATGTGACCAAACATTTGAGTCAATGTGTCAAGTGTCAACCACTGATTTTTCCTCTCTGTTCAGTTCAGTAAGAGTACTGCTTCCATTGCATCACATATGGGCAGATGGTCTGCAAGTTAATGAGCTACTTGATGTGTTCATCTCTTGCAAATATAAACTGCAAAACATCAGCCCAATCACCCTATGCCAAACTTTCACCTGCATGCAGCTCTTGCCCAGACCTTAGAACCACCATCAATCAGCACAAGGGAGGCTTCAACACAACCTCCATACACTACTGCTTCTCAGTATTGTCCAAGCTCTGGCACCTTACCAAGATAAATACAAAAATAAAAATGAGTGTTTAGAAAGTCTTTTACAGAGATTTAAGAGTAATTTTATGGCCAGGCCCAGTATCACATGCCTGTAATCGCAGCACCTCAGGAGGCTAAGACAGGAGGATCTTGAATTCAAAGCCAAAGCAAGGCACTAAGCAACTCATTGAAACCTTGTCTCTAAATAAATACAAAATAGGGCTGGGGGTGTGGCTCAGTGGTTGAGTGCCCCTAAGTTAATCCCTGGCCCCCCTGCCCCCTAAAAAGAATAATTTTATGTCTGTTCAATTTAAAATTCAGGCTTATAATTTTTATATCTTTGGGAATTTTTATTCCATTTTCCAAAAATGCTTTAAATTGTGTTTTTACAAATGTGTTTCCCTTGTTGGTTTAATAAAAACAAAAGAAAAAGAATGTAAACCTTCACTCCAGGTAACTTGAGAAACACTATTCTAGAATGACCCTTCTCCCACTTCACTATGGGTGTGATTCTCCAGGGATCTTATTCACATGCCGATTCAGATTCAACAGGTCTCCTGGTCTTTATGGCCTGAAGCTCTACATTTCCAACAACCCGCAAGGTGATGCCAACACTGCTGTCTCTGGAACACACCTTCACTAGCAACACAGAAGCTGTCAAGAGAGACTTTTTTTTTATTCACAAGTTCTTACTAAGAATGGCCCCTACTGAAGTTCTTCTTTAGATATTAAATTTTTAAAGCTAGGCAGTTGCAAAGGTATTTTTCCATATAGGGTGAGCTCTAATACAATCATTAAATTGCATTTTCCATTAAAAGTAAAATTTTTAATTGCACTAATTTCTAATCGTGTCTTTATAACCTCATAAACAGGTATTCCTCAACAAAAACACGTCTGAACTGAACAAGACAAGATACAGCTGTCTCTGTAGACCATTTTTAGGGGAGGAAGGAGAACATCCCTGACTGTGAGCAATGACCAGGCAGAAGGGGACCTCACCGCGGTGGGGGCGGCATCCCGGGTGAAGATGGGCCAGGTCTTCCAGGCCATGTCGTGGCGGTACTGTTGATGCACGTGCTCCCCCAGCCCATACACGTTGGTGCTGGGAAGTCGGAAAGACAGCTGCAGGAACTGCTGGGCAAATTGGAGGGGCCCAATGCTTGTGTCCAACCTAGGCCATACAGGGAAAGTGAGACTCGCTGAAGCTCCCGCTTCTCTCTGCCAAGAAGCTATTTGTTCCTTTCCACATACACTCAGAGATCAGTTGCTTTAGGCGTTATCAACTCCCATGCTACCTTGAAGACCTTTCTAGGGCATTTCTATTTCTTTGAATCTAATGGAACATAGTGATGGGACACCAGGGGCTCAGGTTGGACGATTGGGCAAACAGAAGAAATGTGACCTTACATTTCTGTGCACCTGCTGCATGACAGACGCTACTCTGGATACTTTATAAATATTATCTCATTGCCCCTAGCAAAAGTGGATATTTTGATCCTCTTTATGGACAAGGAAACTGATGCTGACGAGATTTGCGGCCTTCTATCAGATGGCTGACTGGTTCTCCAGTGCAAGGATTTGAATACAAGTTTTATTGACATTGGTTCTTAAATATTCTCCAGTTTAGCTGTGATGTATCTTCAAAATGTTGGTATTTGCTTGATAATGAAATTCACAGGAAATAATACTTTGGAATGATAAATAATGAAGTTCAAGTTCCAGTATGAATATATATATATATCATGTAACTCAGCAAACTAATACATTGTATTTTAGTATTCTTTGCTCTATGGTCATGATAGATTTCCATTCTTAATTAGTTATAGTAAGTAATTCTGCAGACTTTTGAAGTTCAAGCATATTTCTAGGCCATAGTCATTTTACTATGTCAAAATAATTGATATTGGGTCACTATATTCAAAGATGTACAAAGAGTATCCAAAAAGCTCACAGGACTCTTTTGTTGCTCTTCCTCATTATTCTGATGCTAAAGGGATTATCAGTGACTTCTACATGGTAGCTCAAACTGGAGATATCAGCAGTGTCATTAAGTAAATTGATGTTTTCAGAAGGGACTTCATAGCGGATCGCATTGAAATCAGTTATCTGTCAGAAGAAAAACAGAAAGGACAGTTCAAGGTCAGACTACTTCCTTGTAGAACTACAGAAGATATTGCCTCTCAAACAGCTCTCCATGAGAATAGCCTCTAACTCCTGACTCTATGGTTCCTGGTTTGTAAGAAGAAATCACCCAATCACACATGCCCTGTCAAATAAAATTTAGCCTTCACACCCCATGCAAAGATTCCTACAGAGAGGAACGGAGGTGCCTTCTGTCTCTGCACCTTGCATGGTGTGTGATGAGGAAGGGAGTGGACCCAGGGTGGAGCACTGCTTTCTTCAGGAATGTGTTCAGTGTTAACTCCCAAACCAACCTTAAAACGAAAACGATTGGCTGTCTGAAATTCAGCTGTGAGGAGGGCATTGGTGACATCATCTCCAAACAGAGAAGGGGATGGCAACTTTCTCAGCTGGGCAGTAAACCCTAGGGTTGGAAATGAAGAGCAAGAAAGAGGCTTTTAGCTTCTATGTTTTGCAGTTATCTGGGCCATAAAGAGTTGTTCCCTGGGGCCACATCAGGACAGTGCTTACCTGTGCTTGTATTTGTTTGGGCCCTGATGACTTCATAGCCCCAGTTTCTGGGGAAGAAGCACCTAGGGACATTGGTCTCTGCTGCAGAATTCCAGCAGCATTTATATTGCCATCTGCAAGTTTCCTGTAAAAATAACAAAGAGTTGGCATTATAAAAAATGAAAGAATGAGAGTAATATTTGCCTATTCATTTATAAAATCTCTTATTCTAAAGAGAATGTAAGATACATCATAATTACATTCATTCACTTATTTATTCTTTATTCATTTATACAGTTATCCAATGTTGATTTCTCCTAGACAAGAAACTCTTACCAGATAAATAAGATTAAAAGTTTGTGCCTCCAGAAAACTTACAGTCTAGTGGTAACTCAAGACAATTAAAAATAGCAATGAGTTGAGTGTTCCAATAGGGTTTGCTTAGGAGCTGAGCAGTAGGCTGAGAGTAGAGTGGGAATGGCTTATGGATAGTACAAAGGTAAATCCAGTCCTACAACACCAGAAGGAGTTAGACAGGTGAAGAGCAGAGTGGTACTCCAAGCAGAGAAAGCAGAAACGCATGATAGATGGAAAACCCACAAATATATTGTACCAAGAACATTGAGTAAGAACAGTGAGTACAGGAAGATCAAGGGAAGCTAGCACACTAAACTATCAGCCTACTCCAGGAAGAGGACTTGGAGACAGAAAACATTTGTGTAACCGATGTGAATCTGCAATATGTATATAGGGTAAAAATGGGAGTTCATAATCCGCTTGTATCAAATGTATGAAATATGATATGTCAAGAACTTTGTAATGTTTTGAACAACTAATAATAAAAAAATAGTGAAAAAAAAGTTGAAAAAAAAGAACTTCCCTGCTATATTCTGCCCATAAATATAATGTCTGAATCTTTCTCAGTAAAGGAATGTATTCAGTTTAGATTGTTTTATTTAAAAAAAAAGAGTATGTCACAACACTATTCATTTGAAAAAGGTAAACCTACACATATTTTAAATGCCAACATCTGAATTGCTCTGAAAGGCCATGATACAAATATAATTTAAATCAACACTTCACACTATTATGAAAAAGCAATCATGTTATAACCATACAATCATTTTAAGTACTTATTAATTCTCCATACATAACATTGGTATTTTTGCCTCATTTTTTTTCAGTTAAAAAATGGCTGAGGATATCAATGGAGACAAAATTTAGGGTTGGATAACTGATTCCCCTAAGACTGAGACAGATGGAACACCTTAGCCACCCAGAAACTGAAGTCTGTAAAGTACAAAAGGTTAGTTTCATTGCCATAAATTGTTTCAAGGTCTATAAACCTCATAAAAGCAATGAATACTCAGATAATGTTTTGTGTGCAATCTGCTCTAATATCCTTCTGTCAGTCCCAGACACCAAAGGTCAAACCATGGGGACAATTATTTTCCAATCCTTCAAACTCCATATTTCGTCCCCATTTATTTGGGGAGAGAGATGGAAGCAATATCACTCTCTTTAATTTCCATGGACACAGCATCAAGAGACTGTCATAAATTCAGCCTGCCCTAGTGTGTTAGCTCAAAAGTCTCCTTGTCTCTCTATTATTGCCTTAACACCAAATATTCCTAAAGAATATTCTCCAGCTGTCTTCCAAGTAGAGGTCATGTTATATTTCAATCAGACATCATTGACTAATAGAATTTAACAATTGGAAATTGACTTGGAATTATAGAGTCCAACTTCTTTCTGATGCAAGCATTTCTTCGGGAGAGTCTCTGATAGATCCTGAAGCTATATGAATGATGGATTGCCAACTTCTGGAATCAGGAAAGCTCACTTTTGTATTTAGTATTTTACTACAATGATATTTCTTATGTTTAGATAACAGCCTCTGGAAGTTTCTTTCTTTTTTTTAGTGGAAGTTTCATTTTTTAAAACCCACAATGGTGACTTTTAGATACTATCTCAAATCATATTAGAGTTTGAAAAAGAAAAAACAAAATTTGGTGGTATGAGATAAGGAAGAAAAGGAAATATACATTGGCAAAAACACTGAAATTGTTATAATTCACACGTAACAGTACTATTTCAAAAATCATTAAAAAGATATGACATACCAATAAAGATAATTCATAAGCAAATTTAAGATGTCAGGTTTCAAGATGAATATTCAAAAAATCAATTTAAAATCTAAACATAAACTACAGATAAACAGAAATTTTAATTTAAAAATAGCATTTAATAGAATTAAATATTAAATTGTTAAAAAATATGAAAGCAAAGTGAAAGATGTCTAACCCAAAAATTTCAAAATTAACACTCTGAATAAATTGAAAGCTATATCAAATTTTTGGATTTTACTATTCACTTTGGTAAAAATTGCAATTCTACCTTATATGGAATCACAATCAAATTATTTTGTGATAAAATTGACAAGCTGATCCTAAAATGTATTCAGAAGTTTAAAGGCCAGAGAATGGGACAGGCACTATTGAAGAAAAATAGAAATGATTTGGAGGACTTACAAGACCACACATCAAGAGCTATTACAAAGTTTTAATAACTAAGGCAGTGTTGTATTGGCCAAAGCACAATCAACAAATTAGCAAAGTGAATTCCAGAAGCAAGTCTACATATATAAACATATAATTTACAGAAAGATGTTACTGCAATGAAAAAGAGAAGGTATGGCAGTCATTTTAGTAATTGGTGATGGATCTGTTAAAAATTCAAGAAGAGGGCTGGGGTTGTGGCTCAGGGGCAGAGTGCTTGCCTCGCATATGTGAGGAACTGGATTCCATCTTCAGTACCACATAAAAAATAGGTAAATAAAATAAAGATATTGTATCCATCTATAACTAATAAATAAAAATATATATTTAAAAAGAATTCAAGAAGACATTTTTTCTGAACTCATCTTACATACACATACACACACACATACACAAACACACACACAAACACATACACAAATGCTAGATTGATTAAAGAGCTAAATTTGAAAAAAAATACAATAATAATGTTCTTAGAGGAAAAACAGACAGATGTTTTCCTGACTCTCTTTGAAGCAGGAAGGAATTTTTAAATAGAATATGAAATGTACTGGCCACTGAAAAATTGACAAAATGGACTACATTAAAATTAGAAACCATTTTTTCATCAAATATTGACCATTAAGAGAGTTAAAACACAACCCACAGAATAAAATAAGGTATATGTCTTTAAAAACAAAAGATTTGTGTCCAGAGTACGTAAATAACTACAGAGCATAAGCAAAAGAGGAATACCCCAATAAAAAAAAAAACCTGGACAAAAAATTGAAACATTACAATATGATCATCCAACTATTCAATAAGCCTAAGAAAAGATGATTAATTTCATTAATCATGAAGGATGTGAAAATTATAACTACAGAATTGTTACGTTGATGAAGGAGAAAAACATCAAGAGTTGTTAGGACACATAGCAACTGAAYTCTTACATACTGTTACAGGAAATGTAAATTGTCATAGATATTTTGAAAAGCTATTTTGCAATATAGCAAAATAAAAAAACCTAAACATGTACATATCCCTATGAATGGAAAATTCCATTTCTTGGTATAGAACCAATGAAATCCTTCTACATATTCACCAAAAGACACATAATATACTGTTCATTGCAGCACTATTAAAATGTTTCTCATATGCAAACTCACAAATGCCTATCAAAAGTAGACAGTATAAAAATATTGGGGTGTATTCACACAATGGAATACCATATAGCAAAAGGCATGAAAGAAAACTTCTCCCAACAACAGGATGAATCTCATAAAAATAATGTTGAGCTTAAGATTTATTTAGTTCAACTCAAAATGTATAAATTTGAAAACAGATGAAGTATATAGTTTTCCATAAAAATATTAGTAGTGCTACTATAAACATTCTAGTATATGCCAGTAGGAGAATGGTTAAAAGACTGTGGTATACTCTTTCAATGGAACATCCCTCAACAACACAAATCATTTAATACTGTATACGTAACACTATTGACAAATCTGAAAACCATGCTGGGTGAGATTTTACAAAGTATGATTTCATTTATACAAAGTTATGCAACAAGCAAAACAAAGAAAGCTATAGTGGAAATGGAGGGAATACAAGGGGAAGTAACTACTGAGGAATATCACGAGAGAACTTTCTGTGGTGATGGTAACATCCCACATCTCGACAGATATTTGGGTTACAGGTGTAGTCAATGTCTCAACAAGTTGACCTAAAAGTGTGTGAACTGTAAAACTTTTCATATTTGCATTGTATATAAGTTTAATATCTAAAGACAAAAATTATAATCAAACATTCAGCTCTTGCTAAAGCTATGCGTGATAAGAAGTTTATAGAAACGTGAAATGGCTTCTGGAATTTACTTTCAAATGCATTAAAAATAAGATGATTGATGGATAAAGTATAAGACATACTAATATAGATGTAAAAACAAAGCAAAATATTAAGGGTGGCATGTAAGTGGGAAATTCTTTCCATTTTTTCTGTATGTTTGAAAATTTAAATATTAGATTATTGGAAAGAAAATCCAATTTTCACTTCCTAAAGGAACTATTAAAAATAGGACTCCTAATAAAAATAAAGCAGTCAACATCATGCTCTATATTTTACATGTAAAAAAATTCCATTGAATTCAAGCATAAATAAAGGTTGCTAACCATCAGCACTTAATTTATGTTACTCTGGAAGAACTGGAATGTGCAGCTGGACATATGAATGATGAGACAGACATAAGCATTAATACAAAGCAAAATCATTACTTGTCAGGGATATAATTGTAAAACTAATAAAGAACTACAATTTTTTTCTAGAAACAATGAAAATATTCAGTTGGTCAATTATATAATAAATATAATACAAATATGTAAAAATGATTTAAAAATATTTAAATTTAAAGTAATACATATAAAATAACTATTAGTAAGAAAGGAAGTATCATAATAAAAGAAGCATTGGTTAGAAAATATAATAAATTATATTTACACTAGAAGCTAAAAATATGAAATACATAAGGAAAAGTTCATTATTCATATCAAAGAAAATTTAGAGAAACATAAAATTCAATTAAGGCATACATATGTATATGTCCATATTCATATATTTATTAATATATAGAGATATATTAGATATATAATTGAAATGGAGAGATGTTCTGTTGTTAGAATAAGAAGAATCAAAACCATTAAGCTGTCAATATTATTTAATTTAACCCCCCAATTTAGTGTGGTTTTAATTAATAATGTTATAGGATGTTCTGGGATATAAAAAGTAGAAAACAGGGTAAAGAAATAAAATTTAAATATATAAGGCCTTCTTGACAAAGTCACGTTTCAACTAAGCAGGGTTCAGAGTTGATATTGTCATGGAAGCCACACACGTTCACTGGCACCTCTGTTGCCAGTGTCACAGTGCCAGAAGGCTCTTGTTAAAACAGTTCACCTAGTTCTAGAAGTGGCTCCGTGGTCCATATGTGGTTGATAGTCTCATTCTCAAGGAGTATGTAGGCTAGTCTACCAACATTTATTTATTTATTTATTTTTATTTTTATTTTTTTATTGATTATTCAAAACATTGCAAAGATTGCAGAATCACATTGGTTACACATCCACATTTTTACATAATGCTGTAATAGTAACTGTTGTATTCTGCTACCTTTCCTACATTTAACCTTTACATAAGAGTACACATTGGAACCACACTTACAAAGCATTTAACATTGGTAAATTCCCTCCACTTTGGGTTTTGGATTTTATCTCCTCCAATACTTCTCTTTTCTCTATTCTGCTTTCCTCACTTCCTCAGTGTTCCCGTAGATATCATTAAGGCAAAAAAAAAAAAAAGAAAGAAAGAAAGAACTCCAAGCAAATTGCAGACCCATAAGCCACTTCACACCACTCTCTCCACACTTAACATCTCTTTTAAATAAAACCCAATGATCCCAGCAGGGACCTCATTTCTCTGACCTCTGTCACCGCCTGTCCAGGTGCGCAGTCTATCCTTTCCGACTGAGAGATCTCTGGGCACACTGGAATAAATGAAGAATCTGCACAGAAATTAAAGGACAAAGTTGAATATTTGTAGTCTGTTCACAGCTCCAAGAAAGGTGGCATAATTACAAACTTTCAGTCAATTCTTCCGTCAATAACGTCATTGGTAGCTGGTATCTTTATTTACATACAATGTTTAACAATTCTCCAAGTGCCAAAAATACTTGTCTTCTTTTTTCTCTTTTGTTGTTGTTGGTTTGATTGTTAGATATATAATCATGTACCATGAAATTATCTGTTTTAAAGCATACAATTCAATAGTCTTTTAATATTTTACAAAGTCCTGCCACCAGCAAGCTCTATCTAATTATAGAACATGATCATTGTCCTGGAGGAGTCACCCCATGAGGGATGGCTTTCCATGCCCCTTTTCTCCCAGTCCCTGGAAACACTTGCCAATTCTCTCTCTGTGGATTTGCCTATTCTGAGAATTTTACACAAAGGAAATCATAAAGCAAGGGCCTTTTGTTCCTGGCTTCTTTCATTTGGTGTGATGTTCAGAGTTCTTCCATGTTATAGCAAATAGCAGAGTTTTATTTATTTTCACAGATAAATCATATTCCACTAAGTAGATATAACACATTTCATTTTGTTTCTCTACACATCAATTGATATGATGCTGTTGTTTCTACTTTTTTACTATATATACATATATTTATTTCTGCTATAAATGTTCATGCAAAAGTATGTGAACATATTTCCAATTCTCTTGGTTACATACCTAAAAGTGAAATTTGTAAATCTTATGTTTAACTCTCTCCTTAACTTTTTGAGAAACTTCCAAACTTCTATTCAAAGTGGCTCCTAAGAGTGATGTATGAGGATTACTACTTCTCTGTGACCTTAAAAGTAATTGTTATTAATTTTTTATTATAGTCATCCTGGTATATGTGAAATGAAATATCATGTTTTAACTTATGTTTTCCAAATAACTGATGGTGTCAAATAGTCTTTATGGTCATTTGTAGATCTTTTGTAAAAAAAAGAAAAAAATATATATATATATATTAAATCTTTTGTTCATTTAACATTTTTTTCTTTTAGCTTTGAATTGTAGCATTTTTTTATGTATCCCTGATGTTAGGCCTTTATCAGATATTTCATTTGCAAATGCATCTGATTCTATAGGTTATTTTTTCATTTTCTTTATACTGTCATTTGAAGCATAAAAGTTTTCATGTATCATGAAGTCCAGTTTGCCTATTTTTTGTTTTGTTACTGTGCTTTATATATCATCTATCAAACTGTTGCCTAATCCAAGGACACAAACATTCAGACCCATGTTTTCTGTTTAAAGATTTGTAGTTTTGGGTCTTACATTTATGTCTTTGATCCATATTTAGTCAACTTTCATGTATACTATGAGGTAGAAATCCAACCTCCTATTTTAACATATGAATATACAAATGTGTTACACCTTTGTTTTTATCATTTGTTTGTTGGATTACATTTGGTTTTGTTCAACTCACTTCTAATAAACTTTGATGTAGACAGGGAAGATATTATTGGCCCCTTAAGAAATATATACAACTGCTCAAATTTACTCATATTCTAGGCTTTATCCACTTTGTTTACCCTTCTCCTACACAACAACAAGCTAAGTAGGACTGGGTCTATGGGCTCCATGAACAGTCAGAGCACTGGATCTCCCCTGAACCTTCAGGCCACTGAAGTTACTATGGATGTCAACTACCTTTCCACTATCCCTATTGACTCATGCACTAGTGTGTGCATGTCTGTTTTAAAAATAGATTAAAGACTTAACATAAGGCCTAGAACCATAAAATTCCTTGAATAAAACATGTGGAAAGTTGCTTAACACTGGTATGACCAAGAATATAAGCAACAAAAGCAAAAATAGTCATCTGGGACTGAGCCAAACTAAAGCACTAATCAGCACAGTGAAGAGGTCACCTAGGCAATGGGAGAACGTATTAATAAGCCATATATCCAACGTGAAGTCAATTTCCAAATGACAAAAGAAATTCAAAAAACTCAATGGCACGAATGGCTTAGAAACTTGAACAGATATTTATCCAAAGAATACATACAAATAAATGGCCAACAGGCATGTGAAAAGATGCTCAACATTCCTAATCACCTGGGAAATGCAAATTAAACTGTAAGGAGATATCACCTCACACTTGTTAAGATGGTGATTATCAAAACAGAACAGAGGACAACAACTTTTGGTTAGCATGTGAAGATATGGAAACCCTGGTCCACCCTTGCTGGGAATGCAAGGAGGTACAGTTGCTATGAAAAACAGGATGGAGATTCCTAGAAAATTAAAAACTAAAGCTACCATAGGAATCTTTATTCCCACTCCTGAGTCTTTATCCAAAAGACTTGAGTCAGGAATTTGGAGATATATCAGCACTTCCATGTTATTGCAACATTATTCACAATAGCCATCATTTGTAAACAACCTAAGTGTCCACTGAAGTACAAATGGGTAAAGAAAATGTGGCAGAATATTATTGAGCCTTAAAAGGAAATCCTGTAATATGCAACAACATGGATGAAACTTGAGGACTTTATCTAAGGAAATAAGCCAATCACAGAAGGACAAACACTGCATTATCCTATGTGAAATATTTAAAATAGTCAGACTCATAGAAGCAAAAAATAGAATGGTGTTTGACACACATTAGGGGAAAGGAAATCATTAATAAATATGTGTAACATTTCAGTTGTACAGGGTAAGTTTTAGAGATCAGATACAATATACTCTTCTGTAGGCTTAAAAAATTTGCTAAGAATGTAGATTGCATTTTTCATCCTTTAATTATAGCAAATGGGGCTTGGAAGACACTGAAAACCATTAACATTTAAGATTTAGTAGCAAAAAAAAATGACTTATCTTGGAGATTGACTTCAATTAATTGTGCATAAGTGTTTTGAATGCTGCAATGTGGAGAAGGAATAGAAGGATCTCTTTGGTACCCAAGGGTGACCTCCTTTACCCCTCTTTCCAACCCAGGAGCCACCAGATTTCCTTTACCTGAAGGTTTCTCCAACACAAGCAGCAGCAAGAGGATATCTACAGCCAATACAATTAGGAAGAAGACAAACAGAAGGACTTCCAATGTACTGAGCTTCCTTGCCATCTAGATGGACACAGATAACTGGATTAAAGCAAAACGCAGATCCCTGAAAGAACAGATGGGTGCTTGTGATTAGAATATGAACTTGTCTGCGAGACAACCTTGATTACCAGCATTCAACTCTACGTACTCAGAGAAGGTTTGTTTCTGCTCTTCATGGTGTCTCCACCTAACTCTACTCTGTGCACTTTTCAGGCTCTTACCTTTCTGTCTGTGTAGATATTGAGATGGTTCAGGGAAAGGTATATATCAGACATAAAGAACTAGAGAGAGAGAAAGAGAGGAGCCACATCCTGAAGATAGAGGATGAGGGRTTGTGATGGCTCACAAAGCCCTTTCAGATGTCACTTTGACCTTCGTGCACACTCTGTACAGTACAATAGAGGGTACACTGAGGGAGAAAGAAAATAGCAAAAGCCAAATCCACATCTTCTTCCGATCCCTATGGCATAATGCTGAGATGTTTAACTACTTAGAGGTTACTGGTCCTTTTAAGAATCTGGTGACAAAAATAAACCTGATCCCAATCTCTAACAGAATGCTCACGTGCATGTGCATGGCACACAAACTCATACAAATTTATTGATCTTAGATATCCTGAAGCCCATGCATTGATCCCAAGGTGAAGATGGAGAACTGGGAATCAGAGGGCATGCATGCTTGCTCTGTTCTTTTACTAACAGGTGGGCTGCTCGCCTGTTGGGGCCTGTTTCTTCCGCTACAGAGGTGAGATCAGATTGTGCATGCACTCCCACGTGAATCCCTGTCATGTGCCCCACATTTCAGGACAGTCTCTAGCTTCAACGACCTTCATGCTTGCTTGGCTTCCATCAACCAGACATCTAGACTCTACCCTAGAATTTCCACCCCTCAGTATTGTTCCACTTTTGAAATCCTTCACGGCTTTCCATTTACTGGTCACAAGCTTTTGTACTTTGCTCTCCCACTGACTTTCTTCAGTCTTCTCTACTCTTTGATCCCATAGAGGCCTCTGTTCTTTTTCCACTTCCCTCTGTTCTCTGAGCCCTTTCTGACCACTGGAGCTAGGCCTCAATATCACTCTTCAACTGGCCATTTGCTCTCATCTTTCTTATCCCCTCATTTGCTAACTGAATCTACATCACGAAACCATCCATCCAAAAGCTCTGCCTCTGTGCTGATGCACTGGCTCAACATAGATACCAGTAGGGCTTTTAATCTCCCCCCAAATAACTGGGCCTGCAGACCCACTGACAATCTTACCAGCTCCTCTCATTTTCACAGGAACAATTTTAAAAATTGATCCTTTTCTCCAAGTCCAATTTCATTCAACTACACTCTTATTCTTATCCAATATCATCTCTAATTTGGAAGAGAAAGTAACTGTTTTACAGATGCTATCTTATCTCCTTGTTTCTCAGCTCAAGCTTTGGTACAAAAAAATTATGCATAACTATAGGCAAAATTTGTATGTTTTCCCTTCTGTTCTCCATAGCAGAGTTTTTCCTGTTCTTGCCTGAGCATAATCCTTGTACCCATCCTCCAGCTTTCCTAGCCGCTGAATTTCTCCAAAATTTTGTTTCACCAATTATCCCTCCTCTTTCTTCCATGGTCAACCTCTGCCTCCAAATGTGATTTTACCCCTCATAGATGTCTTCTTAGTTATCCTTAACTGTTGATGATTCTGCGTTATTCTGTTATTCTCTAAGTACTATTTTAACTTTCTTTTACTTTTGTAGCTAAGCTTCTAAAAAGATAATTATACACTGTCTTGACTAGCTTCCTCATGCATTACTGGAATGAGTGTATTTGCTGCATTCCACTGAAACTGCTCTTGCCAAGGCCACCAGGGACTTAACCCCTAAATACAACAGGCTCTGTCTTAATCATCTAGCACTATCAACCACTCCCTCCTCCTCGAAACTCTCTACCTGTCCATATCCCTGATATCATTCAGTCCTGGTTTTCTACCTCTAGTTCGGATTTCTTTCTAATTTTCTTTGATTCTTCTGTTACATGTGGATATTCTTTGTATTTTCACAGAAGTCCCCTTTCAAAACTGCCTGTTGTCCTTGAGCAATCCCCACAACTCATGTGACTTTATATATCTGGCAACAACCCAGCCTATATTCGCAGACCAAAGATTTAGATTCACATATTCATATGGCCTGTTGGTGTCTCATGTGAGCATCCAAAAGAATCAACCAAAATGAACCTCTTCGGACACAAAAGCATCCATCCTCAACCTTAGTCCCAACTTTTTTCAAGTGGGTTACACTTCAAATAATTAATAGCTTGTGGAACAGAATCAAAATTTCTTTTTTTTAAAAAAAGTAACAATCTGGGGATCTTTTTGGCTCCTCTCTTACCAGTTACCAGTTCAGGCAGAATACTTTTTCCAACATCTTTGGTTCATTTCCCCAATGACCCAACACAAGCAAGGTCATTAGTATCTTCTATATTCAAGTATTAATTGTTCTCTAGATAAGATACAAACCTCTAACCTTGGGACCAAAGTCCTCATGACACCTCCTCTATCCAGGCTCTTTTTTCTGTGTGTACAAAGAATTTTCTGTCTTTTGCTTTTGTCTTTACTTCTCTTCTCACGTTACATTTCCCTGAAACTATGCTCCTCTCCAGCCCAATGCCAAGACCATTCTACAACTATTTTCATTTAAATTCAATTTGTCATTGAGCAGTCTTTATGATAATGTATAGTTATCCAAGAAAAAAGGTTCTTTAAACTGAAATGGGGGTGAAGAGCAAGATTCAACAGATAATTGGCCAAGAGGTATTTGCAGAGATTCCTCAGCTCTTGGAGAAACTGGGCCTGGGAATTGAGGCTTTTAAACTATTTTATTCTAATAACCTAAATCTGTCAGGTGTCTCTCTTTGAGTGTAAATTATTCAAAAGATTTGCCCATAAAATACAGAGCATGCTACATTCTTATTGTTATAGCCCCATAAAACACCTACATCAAAGTTCATAAGGCAGGTATCACCATTCCCATTTTATAAATGGATATTAAAGAATTTTGTCCCACCATGATTAGTGGTGGAACTAAGGCAAATTAAGAATCAGAGCTTTCAAAAAGTATTTGCATAATCTCTCCAAAGTATCTTTCAGACCTCAGAGCCTAAAGACCCAGAGGGTAAATCTCCAATGGTGGCATTCCAGGCACTGAAAGAAGTTGGAGAGACCCACTCTAAATACACACAGAGRCCATAATTCCATATCACAGCAAACAGTTGGTCATCAATTATCATCTTTTTTCCAGCATTGTTTCCCTCTATAGGGAGATGGTTTTTCCCAGCTTCTATAGACCAGAAGCAGGTACTTCTTCTTACTGCTTCTTAGTCTTTTTGAGGGAGCAGGCTCAACACAGTAGTTCAGCAAATTCAGAAACACTCTGGGGACAATCACAGTCATTTTCTTGCCATAGGAGCTACTGTCACCCAGGCAGAGGGTCAGAGTGGGGATTACTAAAGGTAGAATTCTTCCTACTTAGAAATCCTTTCTGCTCAAAGCTGGGGCACATTTAGCTTCCCATGAATCCATGCCACCTATAGATTCCAGAGGATCACATCTGTTCTTGCATGGTTCTCCCAGTGAGAGAGAGACATCCTACTCTTGACCCTCCCCATCTGTATTCTTTTTTTTTYTCTCTCTCTCCCCCCTCCCTTTACCTCTCTATGTAAGATCTCATCTTCAKACCTCACCTACTATGGAAAATGAGGAAAACACCAGGTCCAGAAGAAAAGTGAAGGCGTATAGATCACTTAACAAGCCAGGGCAGAGGAAAATCTACAAAAAGAAAGGGACCTCTTTTTCCCCCTTGGGATCCTATGAGAAAGAAATTCCTTTCCCAAAGCACCACCTGCTTGGGCAAAAGTACTCACCTCATAGCCTTGTCTCTTTCCTTACTGTAGCTCTCACTGAGGCCTGGTGATTCATGAGGAGCACTGAGCAAAGGTGACTGGGTTGATGGAGAGAGCTTCTGCCAGGATAGATTTACTGCCTCATAAAGTTGGCCAAGTGGGAGGAGGGGAGTGCTTTAATAACAGACCATAAAACAGTCCTTGCTCTCCCTGGGACAAGGGAGAATGCTTTGTTAATGGAAGGGGAAGGCTGTTTGGGGTTTGGGTTTTACTCTAATAGATTTCCCTCAGCATTCCTGTCCATATCTGATTACTTTACTTGTCATAAGCTGTGTTTCCTTCTCTGCTCATGTGGCCTAAAGAGCTCCAGAGCTAGGGTCTTGTTCATGTTTCACTCTGCCCCATACCCATACATAGTTCTTAAATGTATACCTATTTGTTGAATAAGGGAGGGAAAAAATGAATAGCTCTTGGTTTGTCATTGTTTATTTCTCCATTTCATCCTCCTTTATGCTTATATCCACTTATCTTGTCATTAATTATATACATTTTCCCCCAAGTTATTCCAAATACGCAAAGCATCATTAAAGTAGAAATTATGCAACCGTTAAGTAGAAAGGCAACTCTAGAAGATATTTGTTGTGACCTTTGACAGCTCAGAACCTTAAAAAAATTAAGGAATTTCTCACTTTAACAATTTTGCCTGCCCAAGAAGATTAGGAACTACCTTTCACAGTCTCCCTTTCAGCCCTTGTATAGGCAAGTGACCTGGGCTCAGAAAACCAGAAGTCGCTGCCTTTAAGTGGTCTCGTCCAGAAGAAAGTGTTAAAGGTAGTACCATATGAAAGGGAAATGTCAGGATGGAGGGGAGATGTCATGTTTTAGGGGAAGTAAGGGCCAGGGACTTAGGGACATCCTCTCTATGATGAGTATTGGAAGCTGCAGGCTGTGGCAGTCCAATCTCCCACAGTGTACGTGGCATTGTCTCTGTACGATAGCCCACAAGCTTCACTCTTTGGCCCTCCTGGAGTTTAAATTACTAATATCTTTATAATTTTTCTGTTCAGGTGGGTTTTGTTTTTATTGATATAATTCACAAAGCATAAAACTCATCCTTTTCAGGTTACAATTCAGTGACTTTTACT